AGAACTACTCGGCTAAATTTAGCCGGCTTTTCATGACCTGTTGAAACGGTTATCATTATGGTGCTGAAAAAGGCTGTTAATCATGCCAGCTTATTGTTGATTGTATTAAGTTTGGGGGGTTTTTTGCAAGACAAGCAGAACGCTAGATCCAGGGTTCATTAGCAGTCTCATCAATTAGATGGAAGGAAAATAACTGGATTTCAAGACTTCCTGACTGCTGATCTACAAGTTTTATCTGTTCTCTTATTACTCGTTAATTATTTGTCCATCCATCCATCCCATCATCCTGTCGGTTCCACCTTAACAAGATTAATGATTGGGGGAAAAAACTATTTAGTCAGCCACTGATCTAAGTTTTCCTACTTAAAACAACGATAGAGGTCTGTAATTTTCATCATAGCTACACTTCAATTGTGAGAGACAAAATTAGGGGAAAGAATCCAGGAAATCACATTGTAGGATTTATAAAAAATGGTATTTTGTAGACTATTTTGCAAAATAAGTATTTGGTCAATGATAAAAGTTCAACTTCATACTTTGTGACATAGCCTTTGTTGGTACAAGCAGAGGAAGGCGTTTTCCGACAGTCTTCACCAGGTTAGCTGCTGGTTTGGTCCATCCCTCCATAAGATCTCCTCTAGAGCAGTGGTGTTTGCGGGGGCTGTTGCTCGGCAGCAAGACCCAGACACCTTCCATCTTCATTGTTTTCACTAATGGAAGGAGGTTCAAGCTTACAGACGTATATGTATATATATGATCCCGTTTATTCTTCTTTAGCAGAGATCAGTCATCCTGATCTCAGAAAAATAGCCCCACAGCATGATGCTTCCACCCCCATGCTTCACATTAGGCATGGTGTTCTTGGGCAGCTCAGCATTCTTCTTCTTCCAGACTTAATCAGCCACAGGATGTCGTTTCTCTTCTGGATCATCCATATGCTCTCTAGCAGATTACAGACGGACCTGAAGCCGGGACACAGCAGGAACTGCAGGATCTGAGTCCTGCTTGATGTGGTGTGGTTCTGATGGTAGCCTCTGTTGCTTTGGTCCCAGCTGTCTCCAGGTCATTCATCGGGTTTCACTGTGCAGATGTGGGACTTTTGGCCCACTGTTTTAATTATTTTGACCCCAAGGGATAAAATGTTGCTTGAGGCGCTAGATTAAGGGAGATTATCAATGGTCTTTTCATCCAATTGCTCCCACAGTTGATTTATTCCCACCGACCCACCTACCTTTTTTAGATTCACTCTTCTCAGCCCGGTGTAGAGCTACACTTTTGTTCCTTTAGCAGTTTTTTGGTCTTGGTTATGGTTGGGTTTGGAGTCTTAAGGATCGATCCAAATGCCCCAAACCGGTAAGGATGGCAGAAGTGTGTCAGCGATCAGTGCAGTCAGCAGAAGCCGGATTAAGCCCAAAAGAACCTTCTGACATTCCTAGCTGCTGCAAGGAGCTATATGATTGCTAGAGTTTTAAAAAAAACAATCATTATTTCTTTATGTTAGATTTTTTTATGTTTTGTATCTTTATGTTTTATAAAGGAGCGTTCCATCTATTAACTACCTTTGGGTAACTTTAGTTTTTGTATTCAAATTGACCACCGCAGGATTTATTTGATAACGTCCATAAGGCTGAGGGCTGTCCGGATTCAGCACAGCTCTTTTCCTACCCTGGATTATTATTATTATTTATTTAAATTTTTTTTGGATGGTGTTCTTACTGTTCACCCTATCAAAAGTGAACGGATAGGAGCTACAGGTTGAGGTATTCTGATTGAGCCTGACTGTTTGAGGCTGTGGACAGGTGACCTTTATACAGATAACAAGCTCAACCAGGTTCCATTATTACAGCTTACGAGTGGAGGATAGAAGAGCTTCTTAACCTTTTCATAACATGAGGACCCAAATTTGGGTCCTCAGCACTCGCCCCAAGATGGTTTTTAGACCTGTAACATATTCTCTGGGGTCTTGCCTTTATTTTGAAACCAAAACAATTAAAATAAACTCTGTAGTTCTTGAGATATATTCAATTCATTTTGGGCATGTTATTTTCAAGCATATTTCTCGAAAACAGGCCTAGTGTCCTTAAAGAAGTCTGTCAGGGGAAAACATCGTGCTTGTTTATACTTACTTTTCACCATAAACAAGTTGTTTTTGTTTTTAATCCTACAATGCGATTTATTTCTTCTCTCATATATAAAGTGAACCCATGATGATATAACAGCTCTCATTATCATCAGTAGCTGACACTGTAGCTAACTCGGTCATGATGAAGCGACTCATTCATAGTTCACCAGGATCATGTGCTAAACTCACCCTGCAGCTCCAATTTAAACTAGAATATCAAACACCTGAAATAAATATATGTAGGTACATCTTAAAAATAAAAGTGCAATATTAGGTGAAACTCGTTTTTATATAAACAATAAACAGGGTGATATATTCCGGTCTTTTGTTATTGTGATGATGATTAAGTCCTACAGATTAAACAAAAGTTAGTGAGTCAGAAAATAAGAATACTGTAAAACAAAAGGTATTTATTGGAAATAATATGGTGTCACAACTTAATCCACTGCTGCCATGTTGTTTTCAGAGTTACTGCCTGAACAAACGTATTTATGTTCAGTTTTAATTGTATTTGTTATCTAATGGAGAGACCTTAATTGCCTAACTTTGCGTTTACCAAATAAGCAGAGAAATCAACAGTTTTTCGCTCATTTTTAATGGAAATGCAGCTACTGTTAGAAGTGTCTTTTCTGGTCTAAGAAAAGCAACTAAACTGTTGCTTTTCGTCCAAAGTCCTGTTTTCAGATTAAAGTAATTTATGTATTTCACTTTAAAATTCAGGTTTCAGGGTCTGGAGAGAGAGAAGAGGCCATCATCATCTGCTGGTTTAGGTCAACTGGGTTCTCTGAAGTCCTTTGATTGATTCAGTCCTGGTCTTTACTGGTCAGTCTGATGACCTGAAGGCAGCTATCAAAACAATCTGGGCCTCCATTACTCCTACACAGGGCCGCAGGCCGATCGCCTCCATCCACGGCGAATACGTTTCACAAGCCTGACATTTATGCTTAAAACAAGATTTTCTGAAACGCACACTTTTAGATTTTCTTACAATAAAAAAAAGCCTCAAATATGTCACTATTTATAATGAATATGTGAAATAACAGTTTCACTTCCTGAGATGAATAAGAAGTATTACCCTTTTATACAGTATTTAACTTTTTCTCAGCTGTAGCTGTAATCAATAAATCTTCCCATAGCCCCACATCTCTTCCTCTTTAGATGGTTTTGGTCATTTTGATTTTTACTTTCAAAGATGTTCCTTTTTTTCTAAATAAAGTCAAATCCTGAATAGCTAACAATCCTTATTAAATATATCTCTTGTTTTGTTACGAAACAGCAGGATGATCAGAGCGCTGTCTTCCGTTCATAAGCTGCACAGAGGAAAACCGCTATGTTAGTTTTACAGGTGAGTTTAAAGAAACCTTTTAGTCCCAAACAGAGCGCCGTTAAAATGGGAAATGATTGACTCTTCATCCATTAATCTGTCCATTCTTCCATTGGTTGATCAATCGTTCTGTTCATTTCATCACATCTATCCTTTCATTTGTTTATCCATCCATTAGTCTTTCCAAATAGAAAGATCTGCCATAAATTAATACTTTAGACTGTGTATGTTGGCAGTGAGTTTAAAACACTGAAAAAAGAACAGCTTGGAAATATTTTTTTTTTATGTATAGTTGTTAAACAGAGTAACAATTTTACCTTTTTTAAAATCAGATATTTGCTTGAATTTACCTAAAACAATAAAACCTTCTGATTACAATCACCAAAACAGTTTCCAGCCAAACAAGTTCCGACTACTAGATCTCAGCATCCTGGTTATTGAACCTTGAATAAAGGATTTAAAACAAAATATAAACTAATTTCAAACCCAACTGTACAAAATTTAGATGCAGTGTTAATGTTTCAACTATCCTTAACAATTTTTCTCATTGTAAAAGATATTAGAGATGTTTATATTCATATTAACCTCATCCCATAAGATAGCTTTAATAAACTTTAACAACTTTCTGTACTTTTTTCAAAGGAATAGTTTTTGTCCAAATTTAAAGGATCTGTTATTTGTGTTGGCTTCAGAGTTTTTTACCTCTGCAAGTCAGACCAGAACCAACAGAAGCTTAAAGATTTTAACATCATGAGCTTCTAGATTGTTGGTTTTAGGGGTAACCAGTGTTCTGCATCAACCCTCAAAAATTATGGGGGAAAAAAAATAAAAGATTATAGGATTTAAACCAGCAGCTTTTTGAAGACGCTAAACTTTGTTAAAGAGTGAGTATATTTAACCTTTTAAGGTTTTTAAACATCCCACAGACCAGTCACACTGAAGTGTTAATGGTTGAATAAGGAAGGCAGCACATATCGAGAGCTTCTGTTTAACAGAGTTTTTTTTTTTAAACATGTATATATTTATTATCCAACAGAAGCTGTTCAGGTTATTAAATTGCTGCTCAGGTTGTGACATGTCTAGATGTGTGTAAGCGTGTAGGTGGTTAAACTGTACGCACGCACAACCCCAGTGAAGGGGAAATACACCAAGTTCCTTTTAAACATGTTTTAATTCCAATTTACACAGATTTTTTTTCTGTTTAATAACAGTAAATAAGTCAATAGTTGTTTTTAAGGCATATAAAACAAAATAACTTCTACTTAAACAACTAGTTTAAATGGATAAACGAAACTTAACCAAAACAGCCCAACAGGTTTGAGCTCCTCCCTCCGACGGCTGGCGGAGGAATGATAGAAATCTCTTTACACAAGCTTTAAGTTTTCTCCTTCCAGTGTTTGTGTGTCGTTTGATGTGTGGGACAGGTTGCTATGGTAACATGCCCCATGTTCTCCCCTGAACTCTGATCTATTTAACATCAACTCCCTCTGCAGGAAACAGACCATCAATAACGGCTAACAGTCATTCAGTCTTTTATTGTTTTATAAAGCTTTATTGGATTGCATTTTTGAATTAAGCATTTTTCACATTTCCTTGACATCATTCAAGAGAAAAAAAAAGGGATTCTCCAGAATAGCACAGCAGCAGCTTATGTTGCTGTAAATAAAGAGGAACTTCAACCAAAAACAAAACAAAGACAATTATAACTTTCAAGGTTTTCAAGAACAGCAGTGCGCAAAACGAAATAAAAAATATATTTGAAAGAAAAAATATAAAGTAAAAAATAATTATAAAACACATTTATTGTTTGATCTTTTGAGCTCTTAGGATTCAAGTTGAAAATATTTTAATTTTCTTGATTTTTTTTAACCAAAGTTTTATTTATTTGCATTAGTTCAAAAACAGACAACTGTCGATTATCTTTATATTAATCGGATTACCACTGTTTTCTAAGAAAACCAAAGTAAATGCATGAATAAAACAGTAAACATTATTATCCTTGGGCTTTTACCAAAATCAGTAGTTAAACTATATAAGGTCCTTGTGTTAAACAGAAGCTCCTGTTGACAGGAGTCATTAGTGTTTATTTATCCAACCTGAGATGATTTGTTTTCTGTTCAATTTCTTGTAAACATGCACCTCAACTGCGCACAGTTTAACTGAAAAGACCTTAGTGTCTCCACAAATCTTAACAATTACAACATAATAAACTAACAGTGAGATCCGCCTGAGTGACTCGTGTTTCCTGAGGGTTACTCAAGTTGCTGTAGCTCCTTCTCTCACCCCATTTTGGATCTCAGCTCTTTCTAAAACCACCAGCGGAGCTTGGGTGGTGGAGGCGTCGCGGGCGGTGCCACATCGAAGACCGAGCCCTGTCCGACAGACGCGCACACGAAGTAGAGGTTGGCGCCCAGCATCACCAGTATGGGGAAGAAGGAGAAGCCAAAGCCAAAGCCCCTGATGCTGCTTTCCAGAGAGAGGCAGAGCCAGTAGATGAGCCTGCAGAGCAGAGGGAAGCATGAGCCTCACGTCAGGAAAAGGAACCATCAGCAGGATCTCTGGGCTTTATTCAGGAACACCGAAAAACTTAAATAAGAGAGGTGGTGCTGCACTTTTAAAAATCAGGCTTTCAGCTCAATTACTTCTTTGAAAGCAGTGTTGTTTCTTTTTGTATTTCATCCTCATAAATAACTGGATGGATTAAAAAATAATAATAATAATAATTAACATAAAAGCAAATAAGCCATTAACAGTTTTGCAACATAAACAAGCTTGATTATCAAGTTAAACATAACCTCTTTAGACAAGCAGGATCTGATTAATAAATCCTTAACAAACAAACCGCTCCAGACTATCAAAGGCAGCGTTAACGACAAGAAAGTTACATAAGGAAACGAGGAGCTGGAAAAAAATTTTCCGATGATGACTCACTGATTAGTTTGGGAGATAAAAGCAACACATGAACTCTGCCAAGACAAAGCTGTGTTTGTTACTGATAAGGAGCCATTTGTCTATTAAGACCATCCAAAGTACAAGACTACAACAGAAGTAATATCATTTGGTTTAAAGTGAGCTGACTACATTTGTGGTCTACATAAACAACTACAGTTATTTGGTTCTCCTAACCTGGTATGACACCCTGTAGGTTTTACTTTGAATGAATTTATATTAGAAAAACTCCTGGGGTCTGTTTCAGGAAGCAGGTTTAACAAACTCAGATTCAAATCTGCAACTTTAAATTGATCTAACCTAAAGTCAGGAACTCTTGAGTTTTCGATTACGCAATGGCTGCTATGAATTAGTCCAATCAACTGTAAATAGGTCCATCTAGAGTTAAACGCGTGCGTAACAAGCATGAAAAGCCATTATCAGTGGAGCCCGGTTTTCACGGGTTACCATGACAACAGGAAGTGCCTATTTCACCCCACTGGAACCAGAGAATTTAATGCAGAAATTAAAAAAAGGACAATGTGTTTAAAAGAGAAAGAAACAGCGCTGCAGCTGCAAAGGAGAGGAAGATGGCGAAGAAGATTGTTGCTCAAGTTAATGCAAAAGTTTATATGAAGTGGGCAGACTGTTTTTATATTTATTAAAAGCACTCTTCTCTCTGTTGTTCCGTTTGTAGATCACTAAAATAAGATTCCTCCTGATCAAAATCACACTCCTGCACTGAACTGTAATAACATATTTTCTAAATTACATTTTTGCAGGAGAAACTGAATTTCAGAAAATAAACAAAAAACAAAATTATACTAGAAAGAATTTAGTTTTATATACCTAGGAACGTTTATGTAATATAATTGTATTTAATTTTTTTTAACACTAAATTAACTCAAGAAGGCTTTATCTTATGTTTTTGTAAGTTATCATGAAATCCTTTGTGCTTCATGTTTTGTATGTTTATTTACCAAGGATGTAAACAAATAACTGTTTATTAGATTTAAATTTGTTCCTCCAACTAATGTCAGTTTAAAGGGAATTTCTTTCAGTGTTGCAATATTACCGTCATCCACTAGAGGATGCTGTTCATTCTTATGCTGCGTTCACACCAAAGGTGTTAGGAGCGTCAAAAAACATGCAAACACAGAAACTTGGATGCTGGGTCAGACGCTGGATCATCTGCTCTGTTTTGTAGCTTCAAGATGGAGAGCAGCTTAGCTTTATTTACTTTATGAGTTTTTCTGTATGCTGTACTACCCTCATTAAATTTAGGCATATTGAACTCGTCGATGGGCTACAAATTCTGTCGGGGATATCTACCTTTGCACGACACCGGCAGTTTGTGGGGGATTTCCCGCTGCCCTTTGTAGCGGCTGGAAGTGAATATAAAGTTTTTAAGGTTAGTGGTAAAAATCGCAAGTACCAGAATATACAATTGAATATTTTTCGTTGACAGCTTTTAACATTTCTAGTTAATTTTGGCATTTATAAACATTTTCAACATTGTTCGGAGGCTGGCAACCCGTGGCTCCGGAGCCGCATGTAGATCTTTAGCCTGAGAGAAAAAGTGTGATTGCAGAACTTTTGGATAAATTAGACGAGTGCAAAGATAGATTTAAGAAGTGGATTGCATCTACAAACTCCACTACTGCTGCTAGTTTGGTTGCAAGGATGGAAAAGCGTCCACAGATCAAACAGGTAGCGCTCTGATGCAGGTATGTGAACTTTCTTCCATTTTTTCCCCAAATCCTAAAAATATAAATCACACCAAGGAACGCTGGTGACAGAGGATGTGGGATTTCAGGGTTAGAGAGCTCTGCTCTGATGGATGTCAGTTCCTGCTTGGTTCCTCATGACTCAATCAACTCGTCCCAACAGAAACACGCCCACCATAGAAAGATTTATTTATTGTTTTTCTATAATTTCATCAATGCAACAAAACCTAAACTGCACAGTGAAGGGTGGTGAAGCGGCGCGCGGTGAGAGCGTTCACTGCTCCTCCCTTACCTCATGCTGCTTTGTGACATTTGCTCCAGGATAAACATTTAATCATGAATGCTTATTATATATTTAAGCCCACATAGTCCTTTTCTATAGAGGGATAATACCCTTAGAGCCCATGTTGCCATAAGAGGCTGATAGAGGAGTTTTACATTTTTGCAGCTCCAGACAGATTTATTTTTTGCTTTTTTTGGTCCAATATGGCTCTTTATGCAGTTTGGGTTGCTGACCCCTGCCATAGTACATAAAAATTTTTTTTAGTGCAGCAATAGTGATCAGAGCTCACTCCCTGTTCCTTCTACATAATCCATTCTTCTGGCTATTTTTTAACCTTTGGAGTATAACTCCTGTGATGTTTATTCATTTTCCTTATGCAGAATCTCTGCAGAGGCGATGACAGCTTGCAGGTAGTGTATCCCTGCCTAAAAAAAACTGAATCAGCTTTTCTGATTGGTTGAGGCTCTGGCATCCAGCGGCAAAAGTTCAATTTACCAAACTCCAGCGGCAAACACTCAGATAATCCGACATTCGGGTGCAGGAATGCAGGAATGCTCGAACGCGCCGCTCCTAACGCTCGGACAGTCCGGTGGACTTCTCGACGGCACCCCCCGTATACTTTGTATGTAAACCTGATGCTTTGATGCCCTGAACGCGCCCGATGTGAACGCAGCATTAAGCGGAGCCTCGTGTATTTGCATGAGAAGTAATTCAGGAGCAAAGTGATGCTAAAATGTGAAGGGATGCAAAGTCTAGAATTATTTACGCTGTGGATGCGGGATTAACCTAATGTGGTTCTGTTTGCAAATAAAAAGACTCGGTAAATACCTTATCCTGTCTTAGTTTTACATCTCTGCACACTGGAAATCACATGTTGCACATATTTTATCTTTTTTTATTCAGTAGGTCACTAGGTTCCTGTTTAGTTATCTTCTAAATATGTCTAGTTTAATAATGTGTAAGAGATGATTTTTGTTTGTTCATTCAGTCGGTATTTAACACAGCTGGTACAGGACATTTTAAAACATAATAATGTAATCATTTTTTTATTTATTAATTCAGCATGTTGAAAAATATATATATATATTTAGCCCTTCAGGTTTTCCCTTTTCCTAGCCTTTGTTAGGGTTCCTACAGCATAAGGCAAGTTGAATTCAAGACTTTTAAAGACTTTTTAATGCCACTTAAAATACAAATTGAAGACCAACTGTACAATAAACACAAAAAAAACTAGCAACAAATTTATCCCAAATGTTTATTTTAACATAAACCATTACTTTCCAGCCCTGTAAATGTGTTCCATATAGGAAGAAAGCTAAAAACACACAAATAACAGTTATATTTGTTACTAGTGTTGCGCCGATGCCATTTTTTTGGCCCTGATACCTGGCTGTGCAGTATTGGCCGATACCGAGACCATCTGTTTGAAATAGATGTGTGTGTATTTATATGAAGAACTGCATACTAATTGGATGTAAAATAATTGCCATCATGGTTTTTGTCAAGCTGCTGCCTACCTTTGTGAAGCAGGACAAAGGCTAATACAAAGTGAATCCAGTAGAACTTTTTATTGCCTACCTGGAATGGGTGACAATAGTTCAATAAACTTTTGGCTCTCAAAATGGTATCGGTGCCTTATTTGTCGGTACTCGCCGATACTGATACTACCATTTTAGTGCTGGATCGGGACCCAGCCCGATACTGGTATCGTTGCAACAATATTTGTAACAACTACTGAAATTAATTCACTAACTTTTTTTTGTTCCCTTCTCAATCACTCTACTTTCATTGTCAGCATACCGCCAAACATTATCCGGACATTTGGTTTTACTGGCGCTGTTGTTGATGTGAGAGCTGCTGTGGAGGCGTTGCAGAGACAAGGGTGGAACAGAACGGACAAACACCTGCTGCTTCTCCATAACCTCATTTTGACGCTTTGAGTTTCAAGCTTCGCACACGTGTCTCCACTGCCTTGATTCCCTTCGTGCTTCATCTACATTCCCTGGCAGTGGTTTTAGCCGTGCAGAAAACTCTTGGATAGATTGCTTATTTTTTATTTAATTTAAACTTCCCCATGTTGTCCAGATAAAAAAGTTAGTGGCACATTACCCATAGGTCCGTCTGCAACATTGTTTTTATTGGTTCCGCTATCGGGAGGGAACCAAAAACGGTTACAGCGAACGGTTTGGTAAATGTAAGAAAAATATTGTCAATTATTTTAATGCTCGATATAGATTACAAAAATAAAATTCTATTTATGATGAGGTAACAATTTTAAGACCTATGAAAACCTGATTTAAGTCATTTTAATACCAATTAAGGCCTTGATTTTATATTGAAGAATTCAATGCATTGTAAGACTTTATGGATCTGCAGGAACCCTGCTTTGTACACAACTAAAAACCATCTAGGGAAAGGCTTTGAAAAACATTTAACTTAACATTTTTCTCTATATAAACTACCTACTAATCCACATTAAATGTACAGGTAAAAATATTAGCAAGAAACCGTCACCCTTTTCGGTTTACAGTGTAACTGATTTTACTTAAGTGATAACGGCTTTTATCCAAGCATATATCTAAAACAGAGTAAAAACTATTAGAATCTAATAAAAAAATATGGATTTCCATGAAGTGTAAAAAGTTTTCTTATTACTTTAAACCTGTTAGAAGATTTTGAGTCACAGCAGATGTATAAAACCTAAAGCTTGGTTTCAGTGAAAAAATAGTTGGTTTTTATAAATTACAGGATGCAGATAAAAATCACACCTACCTGCCGAAAACAAATATGATGCTGAGCAGAGGCACCAGCTTAACCAAGTCCTGGCTGATGTAGGTTGCCATGACAGCAAGCTGCAGGAAGTAGAAGAGGAAGAGAGACAGCGACTCGTTGACGTAGTGCCAGTGAACCATCACTTCCTTGTTCACCAGGTTGCCCTGATAGAGGGGCTTCAGAGCGCTGAAGCGCAGCCGTGCAATTCCCTGGACCATCACACCTGCACAGACACACCTGCCCTTCAATACAGGATTCTCAGAGCAAGATTCACTAGACACATCAGGGATGTCTTACCAAGGATGATGGGGATGATGGCAAAAAAAGAGCAGCGGAGCGTGTATAGGACTCTGAGGGGGGGACTCTCCAGATGTGGGTAGTCAAAAGGAAGCAGAGCATATCCAGCCCATACCAGCAGGGGGAAGAGGAGCGCTCCAGCCACAGTGGATAAAACCAGCCCCAGCTTCTCACTGCAAACACCCCCGCACACATCTGAGGAACAGAAGCACACCCAGTAATCATTAAAGAAAGAAATTCAACATAAGAGAAAAAAAAAGGCTTAATCAGCTATAAATTGTTTGAATAGGTAGGAACCAATGCAGCCTGAGGGACGATTGAAAGGTGAACACCAGCAAGTATGAATGACCTATGGACTGATAAACTGCTACAAGATATTCAGGAAATATTTTTACTTTTCAATATTACACTAAAATTAGATGTACCTCATTAGATGTTGACTGAAAAAAAAAATACACATTTTGATCTGATCAGGGTTTATACATGAATGAGTAACTGTTATTTAATGCATTGTAATGCTCTTAAAAATAATCTTAATGCCATCAACAAGTACCCATGACTTATATATATATATATATATATATATATACACAAGGCAAAATCCTTCGTCATCTTCACCATGGACAGGCTGCAGCCATGTCCCGAGTTCCTCGTTTACCCGCTACTTTGGTTCAAATTAGCATTTTTTCCCTCATTCTCTAGCCTTTTCTCCACCTCAAGCTTCTTTTCCAAAGCATTTTAATGCCACAATTATCAAATTTAATGAATTTTAATGCCAATTAAGGCCTTAATTAAAAAAATTTAATTTAATGACTTTTAATGACCCGCGGAAGCCCTGCTGATGGTGCTTTTGGATAAAAACATGACAGCAACATGTCCAAGAGAACAAAACACCAAACAAAACAAAAAGAAAAGGTGCAGATAAATAATCTGCTAATGTTGGCTGTTATTTATTGTGTTGAAAACCGATATTTATTCTGATTATTTATTAAGCATGATAGACTGATCCCAGCTAACACAGCCTTCATAAGACAGTGGTTTCTTTTTAGCGCCAGCACATGCGTACCAAGGTGAAGAAATCGCTTAAAGTCACCAACTTACCTCAGTTCTACCTAAGAAAACCGGCATTTTATGATCTACTAACTTCAATAATGCTGGATTATGTTGTTTGACTGGAATTGCATCAGGCTTAAAAATATAAACAGGCCTGAAAGCAGTAAAAAGTGTCAAACTAATACAACTTTTATTGTTAGTCTTGATGACTGTGGTTTCAGATTGTGTCGGCCACTCACAGTACTCGTCCTGCTGATCTTCCCACTCAGGGCTGAACTGTGCAGCAGGGTCGTACTCCATCGGCACCTGCCTCTCCACCACCTGCTCCCTGAGGTCCCGGTTCTCCTCCGGCTGCTCCTTTGCATTTGGACACACAATCATGACATGTGGGGTGAAACCCATAGAAGGTTTCTCTGAAATCCATACTGTATCCACTTCCTCCTCATCGTCCTCATGCTCATCGTCTGCGAGTGAACCGTCCTCTTTGCTGTTCCTCTGCAGCTCAATCTCGTCGTCCCTCCACCTTTCACCCTCAGGCATGCTCTCTCTCCACTTGTTCCTACCATCAACCTCCTCTTGGCTTCGCTCCTCTGAGAGATCCTGACTCTCCCCCTGACTGATCCCAGTGTCCCTCTCCTCAGACCCAAATAGATCCTTCTTCTGGTCCAACTGTAGCTTCTTGTTTAAATCTCCAGGATACGGTAAAGTGGTCGACTCAAAATGTGCCGATCTTGCCATTTCCTCCTCCTCCTCCTCCTCTTCGTCTTCATCATCTTCTTCTTCATCTGTAGACTCGGTTCTCTCCCCTTCAGTGGTGTCACTGTCTTGTGGCTTTTGACCTTCGGCTGTTTTTGATTTTTCATTTGAATCATCAGGTTTTGAAACCTCCAAATCATTCAAACGACCTACTGTGCCGCCTTGGTCAGCCATTGTGAAAGTCCAATTTGATTTATTTCTTTAGAGTCAGTATCCAGCAACATTAACAACAGCCTCGCTGTTTCTAATGACTCCTTCTGTCTAAAGAAGCCATTTTCAGATTCAGCAATCCTGGAAAAGTTCCTGCAAAGAAAAGAACAACAAGCTGATTGAGCCTAACAATGCAGCCAAAGTTCAATGTTTGACATGGGTGTGTTGCTCTACATGGCGGATTCTGCCCTTAACACCTGACAATCCCGTTTATACAGCAGGTTTCAGTCTCTGCAGCTTTGATTTAAGACCCCGAGAACTTATCTCTAAAGGAGATTTAGAAAAGTCATTAGAAAATGCAGAATGACAAAGAAAAATGTGAGAAACTATAGAAATCAAAATGATCAACCTCCTTTTCCATTACTGAATAAAGCAAAAATAAATAATTAAATAACACACTGCAAGGTTAAATGCAAACAAACAAAAAAAAATTACTTTTTGGTAATAATTTGACTTCAATATTATCGAATCATTTGGAGTTAATATCAATATATCAGTTTCATTCCCAAGATTCAGTCTTTTAATTTATTTTTTAATAATAATTAGTAACAAATATTCAATGTAAACATCTATTTAAAGCCTGAAACTATAAAATAGGTTCTATTTAACTGTTAAAAATCTTGTTTAAGACTACTTATAGTAGTAATATGTGTTTCACTTCTTGTTTACCATCTGTATTGACGCCAAGCTTTTGGCTTAAAGGAAGTTACTCAGAAAAGACGACTTTCAGCAACAAGTCACAAAATATGAAACATGATTAGAGCAGCTACCTGGTTTTAGTTTGTTCATATCGCTAAAAACTTCGTTAAACTTTGTTTACGTGTGTTTGTTCGTGTCTTAATCTAAACTTTAAGCTAAAACGTACCTGTCAGGTGAGAAAATGCGGCTTTCATCGAAGAGCGGTTAATCTGAAGAGGTATCACTCTGTAGGATATCCTGCGTTCCGAAAACGTCATCACGTAATGACGTGACGTTCAGTTGAAAAAATGATAAAAATGATTATTAAAACTATGAAAATTGAAAATAAAAGACCGGATTTACTGAAAACAACAAAACGAGAAATACAGTTAGTGGAAATCTTACTGCTCCTACTATTTAAAATAATGTGTTTCTGAAAAAAAAATCTTTGTAGATTGTAATCTTAAAAATAGTATTTATCATCACAGGAAATGAACTGTGACATGTAGGTTCCTATTTTATTTTTTAATCATAGAAGTATGTGTTCTTCTTAAAATAATCCCCGATTTAAACTATTATAAGAAAGCTAAAATGCCCTCCACAATTATGATACCAAAGAAAATTCATACAATTCATTGATTTTTATTTCTCTTTTGTTTTAAATGTTTCCTATTTTGGTTGAATAACTATAAAACATGATATAAGTACTCATATAATTACAAATACATGCAGATTTATTTTTGATTTAACGAGTTTCTTGGGATTTTAATTGCTAATCCAGAGCTTCTTTTATTCCCTGGTATAAAATATGGGGTGACAAAGAGGATAATTTCTCATAGTCAGAATACAATGTGAGAAAAACAAAATAACATGACTTCTTTCTTTTAAAGCGAATAGGTGTAGACAGAAGTTGAGAAATGGCAGCAGGAAAATAATTACATAAACCCGATCAGAGCAATAAATAAACACCTGGATGTCTGATAAACTAAACCAGCTAATTGACTTTATTTCAAAATAAATGACTCCTTCATGTCCTATATGTGCCACTTACCTCAGCATTTTTATGGTTAACTCTATTCTTTAGAAAAGCTTAGTTACCCTCTGGGTACGTTAAAATGCTCCTTGGTCAAAGATCTAATTTCTCCACTTCAGAACGATCCTGTTCAGGTAGTTTGAGCACCTGGCATGCGGGCCTCCTAGATGTGTTTCTGCAGATTTTCCAGGCATGTTCTCACCCTGAGGACACTTTAATGAGGACTAAAAACATTCTGGCTATATTGAATTTCACAACACTCAAGAGTCTAATCGGATGGACTGGATGAGATTCAGACTGAAGGATAAAGGGAGATGAGAGGATGTTTAAGATGCTGCTCACCTGGCTGCCATCCACACTGATTTTCCTGTTGTTTAAATTTCCTTCACTTGCCTTGGGTTTTATTGCTCAGTTGTTGAACAGGAGAGACACAAAGCTTCTCCTCTCTTATTCTTTTCTCATTCTGCTAAAGTTAATCCAGTACTGCTCCATATATGTTTCTATCAACTTCAACTAACTTTCCTCTATGTGCTGGAGAAAAACAGCATGATACTGCCACCACTCTGCCTTTATGTTGTGGAATTCTTTTAGGTACATTGGGATAGAGGCAGATGATTCAAAATTAATGCAACACTTCAGTTTTATTAATAAGATATTTAAAAAAGGAGCTTCAATGACTTTTGCCAAAATCACCCAAATGTAGTTTCTTTTTGAGCAGAGCAGCTTCTTTGAGATGGTTGTAGCAGCTAGAATACCTTATTGAATTACAAACAGGACTTATTTTGGCTTTCTTCTTGCACCTCTTCAATGAAAAAAACAAAAACAAAACATAAGATCAGTGTTTATCTTTGTTATTTTACATGTCAAGGTAGATTTTACAGGAACCAAATGTTTTATGTTCAAACCACTTATACCACAGATTTTCCAGGAAATTATGTTGGTTTTATATCACAGTACAACAAATATTTAAATTACCATCAATTTAAAACATTCATGCACAAGAAAACTCTGCAAACATTAAAACTGACAAGTAACCAAGGAAAGAAATGATAGCAAGGTACAAGGAGAGGGGAGCAGAAGCTCAGGGGGAAGTTAACAAGGCCAGAGATAGAGGAAAAAAGAAAATAAATTTAGAGATGGCAGGAAAGAAAGCAAGAAAGACAAGAAACTGAAAAAGGCCACGAGAAATTAGGGACACCAGGAAAGAGAATGAAGGTAACAAGAGAATCTAAGTAAAAAGACTGAAGGCCTAAAAAGCTAAGAGGTTCACAGTGAGTGTAAAAATAGGGACAGAAACACACAACATAGACGGTGGGGCATTAAATACTATGGAAACAGAAAAAAATACCTTATTTTTTAATCGTTTTCCAGACAAAAAGTAAATAAAAATCCAGGATTTGTAGAAACTATGTGAACCTACTGGTTGAAATCTCTTAAAATTCTTTGAACAACGTAAATATTACAAAAAAGCACTTATCTGTGTTTTTTTAAGTGCATTTTAGCCCAAACCTTCAATTTCAGTGTGTAGTGATTCATCTGTCTAGGACACAATCTCTGTCTCATCAGAGGTACAGAGTCCATGGTGAAATCACAAACAGGACTAGTGGGTGTGGAGCTACCAGCAGGCTAATGACACAGGATATGTGTCACCCGCACTGCTCCACAATTATATAGCTGAGGAGTGTTTATATATTCTAAAAATATAAACATAAGAAACAGTAGGAAATAAAATGGCAACATGGACACTTTATTGAAATACAAACAGATTTTCACAAATCACTCTGAAAAATTCAAATATTCAGCCTTACAAATCCTAATTCCCTCTTAGATTCACAATATCAGTAATAATGTACAACAGACAAAATACCCCAAAACACACATACTGGTTGGTGAAATCTGTTAGTCTGAGCTTCAAAAGGACTAAATTATGTAAAAACAAACTAAAAAGAACAATAGAAAGTGAAGCAATAACAGCTACACGCCTAACATTTAAAGACAAAAAACAGTTAACACAGTAGAGTAGATATAAAGGAGAGGAACTCTTCCTTTGTGCAGCAGGAAAATGAGATGTGATGTTCTGACTGCTGGAGGAATCTACGAACGGACAGTCGGTTAAAATAAAGTACATTCAAAGCTTTGGCACTGAGGCGAAGCAAGAAACCAGGGAATAGTGGACATTTGCATTAAAACAATTGAAAAACTTCATTTCAAAAGTAGCTAAATTAAAGCAAAGCATTTAAATGACATAAATATTAGGAGAAAATAAGGTAAAATTTGGTGTTTTATAACAATTTCTTTAATTTTTCATTTTGAGGTCTTTTTAAAAGTGAATCCTTTGTGGGTTCAATAAATAAAAATCATTTTGGCTACTTTAAAAATGATAGAAGCACACAAAGAAGTATATTCTAAAAGGAAAACCCAAAACATTTAAATAAAATGACGTTTATACCGGGTATTTACTGGGTGGCGCAGCTAGTAGCGCTCTTGCCTTGCAGCGAGAAGGTTCTGGGTTTGACTCCTGGCCTGGGGTCTTTCTTCAGTCATTCTTCTTGTAAATTTAAAGTTTAAAAGAACAAACTGTGTATTATACCTCTACTAATACAACAGTTTTGTTAACACAGTGCATTATGAAACATCTTTTAAGAATTTAAGACATCTGGTCCATTTATTACACAAAACACTTTAGCTTACAATAGAAGGGCAATTGGTCATAAATTAAATATAAATCAATATTTTTTTCTTTACAAAAAAAATAATAAAAAAAGAAATACTGCATTTAAAAATACAGGATATTTTTCCTGATTTTCTTTCCCCACATCAGCTCTGTCAGCTCAACACAAATCTAGATCTAGAAGCCAGAGTTCAGTGATCTTATTGTCAAATACACAGAAATTGTTTATTTTATTCTTAGTTAGTGCTTCAAAGATAAAAAGTATGGGTGCATCAATAATTTTTTGTACTCTGGTGTTTATAACTTAATTCAGACAAAAGTTTGAGACAAACTGGAGATGATCTTCCTTCATGTCTGCATCAGTTTCTTTCCTTTTGTGTTACAGTTCTTGTAAAAGAAAAGGGGGGAAAAAAATCTGAATCTACAAAAAAAAGTTGAATTTGTCTTGTTTTATTCTTTGTAACAAAGAGAAAAATAGGCATAAAAATCAGACAACAAAAATTGGCAAAAGTAGATCAGGCAACAACAACAACAACAAAAACATCCAAACAGGTGCCTCATTATAAAACCTAGACAAATCTGTCTACACTTGCTTACCACACCTACCTTTTCACACTTAGTTAACCAAAATAACTTTCAAAAAGCAAATAAAAACCAGTACAGATAACCACTGTGGGGAGAAAGTGGCAGCGCTGCTGGCCATCTAGCCTAGTGAACTGACAGAAGGTGAAACATGTCATCTATGAGTCAACAGTAATGACTGACGCCAATGTTTTGGTCAGACTGAGGCCGTTTCTCAATGTGTGTACTTGTGCGTTCTCATGTGCTCGTGAAACGTCATCAGCCTCAGACCTAGCGTTGTTTGAATTCACAAGAACACAAGACCGAGAACAGACACAGACCCTGGATGTTGTTCTCGCCCCTCCCTCTTTACAGAGTATGTATCAGAGCAGAGTTGTCCGTTCTCGAGATTCCCAGCTGTCCCAGCATGCACTGCGGCAGCAGCAGCTTCAAATGGACCGCTCACAGAGCTCAGAGTATTAAAAGTTCACTTTTCTGTTGCCGCTGTTCTATAAAAGTATGTTTTAAGATAATTTTAAGGTGAAAAATTATACTTTTAAGAGCCACTAGATGGTCCATTTACTGATTTAATGCGTGATAAAAAAAAAAAGTTCCAATGTTGAGAGGAACTTGGCAGCCAGTGGGCCTCCGAGGCTAGCCGCTGCCGGGGCTAACTTTAGCCAGTCTGCAGCAGCCTTCTCTAGGCAAAGCCCAGGGTGAAGTACCACTGGCTCTGTTGGCAAATGTTTTTTTTCATTTGGCAAAATGCTTATTTGATTTTTGTTTATCTGACTGTGTTATTATTCCTCTACTACATGAAAAAAGTAAGAATTTATTATTATCTGGAGACTATTAATAGCAGTTCGACTCCTAACGAGCCGAACGTGTGGTGATGTCACGAGTACGCTTCTGTTCCAATTGATCCATATTTATGCTGCATGCTCCCATTCTCCCTCCAGACTTTCCTGTGTTCTTGTCAAGAACATACTTGGCGAGAACGAGAGTCGATACTCGCATTCTACTGAATTGAGAAACGGCCTGAGTCTTTTATCAAGCCTCCTCACTAAGTTCAATGCTAACATCCTGAACCAGGACAGTTTCTTCCGTTTCATCCGTGTGCTTCGTGGGTATCGACTCTGCCTCTGTCAGCTCTTGCTCCATTTCCATGCCGACGGCGGGACACTCGCTCTCGGGCTTGGAGTGGTTTGGAAGCACATGGTCGGCATGTGATTCGCCCCCTGCTTTGTTTTTGTTGAGCGAGCCTTTAGGGCGGCCCCTTTTCCGAACGACCCCTTCATCACTCTTTGGGGTTGTCGGAGGGCGGCCCCTTTTCCTCTTTAGTCCATCGACTGGGGCACGTGCAGAGGATGGACTGAGCGCTTTCTTTCGTAAGTGAGCACCTTTCTTGGACTCTGACTTGCGGGGCCTACCGCGGGCCCTTCTAGGTGCCGGTGATGCTTCCTCTGGAGGATCGGCTCTAGGATATTTCCTCGGCCTTCCCAGGGGTTTCCATACTTTAGGCTTCTTCAGCTCCTCTGGTGAAGGTAAAGGATACTTCCGTGGTCTTCCTCTCTTGCCTGGCTGTAACCGCGGTCGACCAGGCTTCCTCCCTTTTACAGGAAGACTGAATATTTTACGAGGCCTTCCCACCTTACCATGCGCTATCAATGAAGACGGCTTCTTATTCAGAGAGCCTTTTGGCCGACCTCTTCCCCTCTTCAATGGCTCAGAGATATACACGTTTTTCCTTGGTCTCCCTCTTCCTCTCCCAGGTTTCTTTGAAATGGTCCTGGAAGGTCCACTGCTGTACTTCACCACAGGCTTCCTCGGTCGACCTCTCAATGTCTTCACTGATTTCTGAGCTCTGTAGGCTTCTGCATCCCAATCGCTATATTCCCGTTCCATCCTTGATTTTTTATTGCGAGCTCCTTTAGGTCGGCCTCTTTTCCGAGGTGTAACTGGGCTACATTCATCTTCCTCACCGCTTGTTAAGCTTTCAGACTTGCGCTTTACCGATCCTTTTGGACGGCCTCTTTTTGGAGCATCTGAGCTGCCGTTTGGTATGCCTTCAGCAACAGGTTTCTTAACAGAGTCTGATTTTCTTGGCCGTCCTCGTTTCTTTGGGGAGAGTTCTGTTTCAACCGTTTTTTCACTACTAGTTTGCTTCTTGGACCCTTTTGGTCTTCCTCTGCGCTTGTGAATTGTAACAGAGCTCTCAGTGAGCTCTTCCCCAGAGTCCTGCTGCTCTGTCGCTTTTGTTTTAAATACTTTTTGGCCTTCTCTTCCCCTCTGTGACGGGCTGTCTGAATCATCCTGGATCAGCTCTGCAGCAGAGGCATTTTTTTGTTTGGAACTCCGTGGCCTGCCCCTTCCCCTTTTGACTGGACCTTTTTGGATGACGTCGCCGTCAGCCTCCCCTTTGGAAACTGGCTCCTCTTGTTCCACCTCAGCCATTACTGCTTCTTCCTCCATGCCGCTTCCTTTAGCTCAGCCCTCCTTGGTCAGTATCCTTCTGTTCACTGACACAAAAGGTTAAAGTTAAAACCCCAGCAATAAGTAGTTAATGCTTTTATGTAGTGATTTAATGTTTATTCCACATATTCAGGGTTCTGAAAATGTTATTTTCATATTTCCACATTTTAATATAACTGAATGTTTTCACTAAAATGTAATATCTCTATAGAATAACATGGTTTACTGTTTTTACTGAATGTTTTTATTATTTTCTAGATTTTCACAATCTACAGTGGTGCCAAAAAGTATTTAGTCAGCCTCTGATTGTGCAAGTTCTCCTACTTAGAATAATGAGAGAGGTCTGTAACTTTCATCATAAAAGAAATATTATTGTAAATAATATTTCTTTTTGACTCAGGCTATCAGTTATTTAAATCAACCCAAATATATGTGACAGGTCAGTTTACTGGAAAGAAAATAAAAAAATATACATATTTTTGTGAAGTTTTAATGTACCTTAGTGAACATCGTATGTCCTCTAGGTCTGAGTAAATAAGGACAGGGGTGTTTATACCACTTCATATTTTGTTCATTATCAGTACATATTAGGAAAACTAATACATACTTTAATATTAAATATTTTTTTATTTAAATGACATTTATTATTTAAATAAAATCTTGTAAATAATTATTAAAGGTACTTTGTTGTTACTTAGTTTAACACATATATTACTATATAAAGACATAACAGTTGCCCCGCCTATAATAGCTCAATTGCAGTTTATTATTCCCTCATTGCGTTTCCCCCTTCTACCAAAACGAGCAAAAGGCGCCCTCTACCGGCAGAATGCTAATATTAAGGTGGACCTCCATTTGTAAAGCAAACTGTAACTAGGAAGTTCGGGTTGCTTATCAAAGGGCTCGGTGTATTTCCTGGTTTACAATCTAATAACGGCGGGAAAGTCCACAGGCTTCCAAATCAATACAATGAATTCAACAACAGCAGGAAAGATGTTTCCATTTTCAGTATGCATACGAACAAATAGGAATATCTGCAACATGCACAGAAAATCATAAATGTGTCTTTTAAATATTTTTATTTTATTTTAAAATATGTCTGTATTAAAAGCGTTGACTACAGATTAGATTGTTTTCCGGGTATTAGCTAGCGCCAAAACCCGTCTGCTGTAGATAAAGATGTAAAGACGCAACAAGGCTGCAAACCACAGGGTGCATATATCACGTGAAACACGAAACTAGTTAGACTTTAATTTATTTTTTCTCTAAATATATATTCAACGGACATACCGTGAACTGAAGGTGCTCGTTATTTGTTGCTGTGATGGCTGTTCCCGCTGGTCCGTTGTATTTTAGATTCTGAAGGAAACAAATGCGCTACATCTTTAGTTCCTGATCGAGAGCCGCTTTGAATACGGGTAGAAGATGGCTCATAGCGCCCTACTTTATATGAACAAAACGACATAAAGTAAGGATTACAGTGGCAAAATTACAAAGAAACTACAGGTTAAGATCAAAACACCCTAAAACAAAATAAAATACCCTTTTCTATAATATGTATATAATATGTATATGGATTTCCTTAATTTTTCACTATGATTAGATTCAGAATCAGAATATTATACTTGTACACAGGCATCAGTCAGAGGAACAGTAAAGCACACACACATATATATATATATATATATATATATATATATATATATATATATATATATATATATATATATATATATCATGCCATATTTTTCTTATTAAAATTTAGTGATTTTTTTTATTTCTTTTTTTTTTTAAGGAAATGGCATAAAAAGTTTTCCGAGACAAAGCTGGTCAGTATTCCTGCCAACAGGCCAACAGTATCACTTGAAGGATCTGCAGCAATTTCTGAGAAATATTTTCTCCCTGTAATCTACAGTATATTTTTTCCTGTGTCTAAGTGAAGGAGGAAGGTTGTATTGCAGGTGCATTAAAATAAATAAATAAATAATCCAAGTCTTGCTGTAATCTCCAAGGACTATGTGGGAAAATATGCTCTGAAACTGGAAATATTTGGGCTACATTCCCAAAATGTAATCCTGGTAAAAAAAAACAGTGCATCACTAAAAGAACAACATGTCCTCAGGTGCAGGCAGGGGAACCTTCTCTTGTTGGAGCTGGCATTTTTATTGAAGTGGATACTAGGGACACCCTCAAGTACCAGTCAGCTCTGACCCAAACCTTTAGCAGGATTTTATTTTACAGTCTCACAGAGAGTCCAATGATCCACATACACAAAATAATGGTTGGGAAAAAACAACAAAAAACAGCTAAAAATCTGTAAAGTCCCCTGAATTTGACTGTCCTCACAGTAACAGATCTAAAGAACCTTTGCAAGGCAAATATAAAAGTCTGACTGGATTCTACAAACTAGTCAAAAAGTACTTTTAAAATTGTTAGTTTAATTGTGAGCATAATCTAAAGTGAATGTGTCCATCTAAATATTTGCTAAAATCAGAATCACTCTTTTCTTGCAGTGCAGTTATTTACAAGAGAGAAAACTATGATTGCAAGTAAGAATAAGATATAAGAATAAAATTTGATATGGATCAGAGTAAAATAAGGATCACATTATATATACAATTGAAAGTATTTACAATTTACAATGCTGCTCAGTACCAGATTACAATTATTGCACATGACCGTGTTATTACGCATAGTGAAGTAAACCTTCATGACTAAATGATAAAAGAAAAACCTGGAAGAAAATTTCTGTGACTTGAAGTTATGATGTTATTTAATACTTTAGCACATTCTTACATTACAAAGAAAGGAGTTCAGACCATTATTTTAAATATGGCATCATTTTATTGATGCTTGGTTGGTCTTTTTTCAGCACATGGCCATAAAGTTCTATTGACATCATATCGATCAGCTGGAGATTCTGGACTGGGCCGTCACCACACCGTGAGTCTATTGTTTTTTAAATTCTTTCTAATGCATATTTACCTGATGCTTTCCCAGACCAAACTTAAGACGTAAAACAAAAATATTCACATTAGTAGCTACATATGCAGAGGTCATGTTTACTTTTGTTTTTGATTATGATAGAGTTAATTTCTCCAGAAACTCATCCTTAGATGCACTTTTGTCTATGGCACATTGTTTCCTAATGGTCTGTCTTTTTTTAAATGCAACTTTTCCATTTCGTTGATTGAAAAAATAGATATAAAAAATTAAACATTAAATGTGTACAGAAAGAGACAAAACAAACTACTGAGAAAGGTCGCTTCTGTCCTAGGCTGCACTCTGGACTCAGTGGTGGAAGTGGCCGAGTGTAGGTTGCTGTCCAAGCTTACATCGATCATGGACAACACCTTCCACCCTCTGCACTAGACTGTAGAGGAGCTAAGCAGCTGCTTTAGTGAAATACTTTTACACTTTTACAGTAGGAACACTACTGCAGGTCATTCATCACTGCTGCAACCCGACTCTACAATGCGACGCTACAACGGCAATAATTTGTGCAATGTGTGATGTACAATTACTATTTGGTGTCCTGTGCAATAACCTGTTTCTCTATGGTTGACACGCAGTGCAATAACTATTTATATTATTATCAATATTCATCTATATAAATACCCATGTAAAACACCCTGTGCAATAACCTTGTATAATTATCCTAATATAAAAAAAAGCTGTCACATGTGGATGCACTGTATATACTGTATATATAAAGTCAATCAATCAATATAAATTAAATAAAGATAACTTCAAACTGTATTGTGAGGAATTTTGTATTTGGTATAGAAACAGAGCCCTGTAGAGTCTAGGACTGAGCAGGATGGAAAACGATGAAATGGCAGTACAAATTGGCCTTCAACAGTGTTCTGTTCAATTCAAATCAATTTGATTCATTAACCTGAAAGAGAAATGAAATGTTGTAGTTACTCATAGGGATTTAACAACCATTCATTGTAGATGTTGATAGCTGTAGGTCAGAAAGATCTTCGTCTTGCTCCGATATGAAGAAGCTTTTGACTAAAGACACTCTGTTGTTGTTCAATGGTCTTCTAAAGATGATGCCCACAATTTTCCATAATGTTCTTCATTTTATGAAGAATTGTTCTTTGTGAAAAACTCTCCAGAGGTTCAAGAGGAGGTCCTAGAACAGAGCCAGCATTCTTTATTAGCATGTTAAGCTTTTTAAATAATTTGCTCTGATTTATGCTACCCCAGAAGATGATGGAGGAATAGATCACACTCTTCACTAGGGCTGCAACTAATGATTATTTTGCAAATCAATTAATCTTTCAAATATTTTTTCTATTATTAATCAGATAGGAAATGTTTCCTTAAACAAGTCTTTTTACAAAATAAAACTAGGTGGAACTAAAACTTTTCCAGTTGAGGAGTTCAGGATAGAGCATATTGATGGATGAAATTTATCTTGAATGCAAAATGTTATTATACAATTTTGGTATAATTGCTGCTCAAGGTGGGTCACTCTGTCACCTAAAGACACGTTTTAGAGTTTCTATACTTTATTAATTGATTAATCATGATTTATCTGAGTAATTGTTTCAGCCCTAATCTCCACAACGGACTTATAGAAAATATACAGCAGGACCTAAGCTTCCTCAAGAAGGGCAGTCTGCTCTGTCCCTTATTGTAGACAGATTCCCCGTTGAGTCTCCAGTCGAGTGTTGATGTGAACACCGAGGTATTTATACTCCTCCACCACCTCCACTTCTTCTCCCATGCCATTGATAGCATTTGTTTTGTTCCTGTTTCATCTGAAATCTACAATCATTGCCCTTGTTTGTTGACATTCAGGATCAGATGACTGTTTCCACACCATACCACAAAGCGGTTTAGTAGCTCTTTATACTTAGCTTCTTGTTCATCTCTGATGCCCCCAATCATGCAGTCATCCGCGTTTTTCTGCAGATAACAGGAGTTTTTCTTGCACTGGAAGGCAGAGACGTAGAGGGTAAACAGGAATGGTGAGAGTACCGTCCCCTGTGGTGCTCCTGTGTTGCTGACTATCTGATTAGACAGGTTCTGATAGCTGCTAGTTTGTTTGCCTGGATGTCAGGGCAACAGATCATTTAGGATGTTTGGCTGAGTTTTCTTTGATACTGAAAAAAGCAGGAGGTCTTCCACATTACTGAACTGTCTCCTGCGTCAGGCTAAAGTTGAAGAGGTCTTAAAACTCCACACTTTTCAAGGGTTAAAATAATTTGAATTTCTAATAATGATTATTTATTTAACTTTCATTTCTTTTCCAGCACACTTGACTGTCTGTAAGTTAAAACATAAAGAAACGGCACGAATCTGACAACAGCATCTGAGTTTTATAAAGGGCTATTTCACTGCTTTTCTTTCAGTTCTGGACTAAAATAGATTACTTGTCTTTAAAACTTTTAATATTTTATATGATAATGCTATCTACAGACAAGGAATGTAGTAAAATTTGCACCTTCCTTGTTTTTATTTTAAAAAGCATTTATTCAGTCAGGAGCTCAAAAAAACATCATGCTGAAGAATAAATTTTGTTTTTTAGAAATCCAACAAAGGAAACACGTGGAAAATCAGACCTTTTTCCATTATTGGTTTAAACCTTTCCATACAGCTTCTAAAAGCAAATCATTTCCTTTTTTCAGACTTTTCCAGCCTGTTAAATCCCTGTAGTTTAGAGATTTAATTCCCTTTTTAACCCTTTTACTCTTTACGGTTGCGGGTAACATTTAAAAAGTTACATATGTTACGCTTAAATAAAGGTTTCAAAAATAAAGCTTTTCTTAAAATATGAAATTCAAAGTGTATGTTTATAACCCAATATTTAAAAGGTGTAGTGTAAAATATCAGATTTCTTTAGAAAAAAACTAAAGAATAGCCTTGAAGGTGAGAAAAAGCTGATATAGATCATTTTCATGTAACCTGTTTCCTGATGAATGGGAAGAACAAAAGATTCAAAATATTGTAAAAAGTTAATTAAATATTAGGATAAATTTTTCAGTTTGTCACTTTTAGCTGAGCTTATCCTTCATGCTCATGCTTGTCCCTCCTGTCTTGGCTTAGCTTCTCCACAAACAAGAATCATGTTGGCTCAGAGGAAAAGGTTAGAGAAAAGAAGACAAACAAGAGACAGACAGATTATATTGCACATGGTGGCTGGATAAGGGGGTAGAGAATGAGGTAATGTCAGGGTCAGCGTCAATAAGAAGAATCAAAAAAGAAATATGCAAATGTGTATAAGTGTGAGACAGAGAGAGAGGCTGTCAATTCGAAACAAGGGGGAAGAGAGGCTTAGAGACAATGACAGACGTGGCCGGAGGAAAGGGATATGAGCGTTTGAGAAAGACAACCCCTGAGAGACGGCGCGCTGAACCCGCTGGCCCGTCTCAACCCTCCTCCTCCTCCTTCCAGCCTGTGTGCTTTACCATGGTTACCAGACAGGGCTCCCAATGCAGCCAGTTAATGTGTTTTTCAGCAGCGGGAGCGAGCTGGGTACTAATGTGTCTCAGTCTGTCTCCTGCACAATCAATGTCAAGTGTCCTGGGATGCACAAATACGCAGAGGGCTGAGAGCCAGGGAACACTGAGGGACCCTGGCTGGGTGTCAGGGCGAGAGCCTGAGAGAAGACCTCGTTATTTAGATTTTATCCCAGGACTTCTACATGACTTTGCTCTTAATTAAGCATGCAAGTTGCAGAAAAACAGGGTTGGCCAGACTTATGGTGTGGTCTACTAATATTTAGAGATTTTTCAAACTGCTTCTGCAGACTGAGAAGATGGATGGGCCAACTCTCAGTCAGAATTTCACAGCTTAGGACATTTTTTTTGTAACCCGTATTGGTCTATCAGATAAAATCACAAAAATCTATTGAAATCTATTGTTGTAATTTGAAACAAATGGGAAACAGTTCTGGAGGCAGGCAGCCTTCTACAAATAATAAAACACATTGTGAATAATCATTTTAAGAAACTAAGACCAGAATTTCTGGGAACTTTATAGGACCCTTTAAAATTGTTTATTATAGATAAATAGTAGTCAAGTATACACCAGTCCTCTTCCATTGCACTCTATATTTCACAGCCTTAATATTGCATCTTTTGTTGCAGTATTATATCTTAAATATAATAACCTGTATTTAATAAAACTTGAATAGTATTTGTTTTTCCTCCAAATCACAGATTCCAGTGTTATGAGTACCTACCTTAAAATGAGAACAATATAAATGTAATCAAATTGTTTAATGTAATTATTTATTTAGGTTGATCAAGCTGTCTTGAAAAAGGTTAAAGAATGACGTCCTGTTTCCAGGGGGTATAAATTAATTCGATTTTATTTATTGAACACTGTTCATGTCAAATGTAACACAAAATGCTTTACAGAGGGTAAAACAAGCTTTCAAATAGCGATCAATGACCATACATAGCTAAGTAAATCAAAAAAAGTTTTTAAGAACTGACAAAATGCAATTATAAACTCCACAATAAAAACATTAGATTTATTTAGTTCAACCATTGAAATAGACAGACAAAAGGTATAACTATATTTTATTTATTAGAAAATTTAAACTGACGTTATAAGCTGACAAAATAAAGGTTCTAGGCCTAAATTAGACATGCAACAGATCCAAACACAGACAAACTTATTAAAAATATTCTTTTTAGACACTCTTCCAAATAGATAAGAAAAGAAAGCATAGGCAAGCCAGCAGAATGTCTGTCTTTATCAGTCAGAAAACAGCAGCATAAAAAAAAGCTACTGGCCTTAATTTGCAAAAAATAAAATTTTAATAAACCGAAACTGTGAAAAACAAGGCTGATGAAGACATTTTTTTTAATCTTCAAAATATTATTACACAATCAGAACTGTGAAAACAGCAACCCATATTTATTCAAGAAAGTTTAAAAGTTGCTTTTTCGCTGATGTGAAGAATTTCTGTCAGCAGAGTTGGATTGATGCACTAAATGAAAAAAAGTTCTGAGAGTCCAAAGATCGGGGTTACAAACTGACTTTTTTTTATTAAAATGTGGAGCTATGCAGCACAAAGCCAGTCAAAATCTAATATCCCCTTCAGAAAAAAAATGTAAACAAAAAAAAAGTTTCTCCTCTCAGATGATTGGACATGTTTCCTACAGTTTCATCCAATATCCACACCATCTATGTTGTCAGCCTCACCAATTAAAGGATGAATGGTCAACAAAATGTTTAAAATGTTTAATTCTGCTGAAAATATTGAAGGGAAATGCATGAAACTTTGTTCCCAAGGACCTCACCTGTGACTGTTTACATCATCACAGGTTAAGGGTCTCAGGGACAATGAAGCACACCAATATTTTTAGTATGACAATTTTATTTTTCACTTTCAAAATGCTTTAAACACTAACTGCATCTCTGCAAAACAGAACAACAAGTTCCAAAATGAGAAGCAGTTCCTACGTCAAACAAGCTGGATCCCTGTTTGTCATAGATGCTCGGCGACATATCTGCAGAAGCTGGACTGGATCCCAACCTGTAGAAAGACACAGATTTAGTTTAAGTTCACAGCTTATTGCAGACATTCTCGATTAGAAATATTTCAATATTCAACATTTTGGTCCTTTTTTGTTGCAGCGACATAGCCAACGCCTTTAATTCAGTGCCGATCGGTGGAGTAGAACGCTCAAAAAAAGCTCCCCCTGCTGGCAGACGTTTCTACCAACATTTGAAGTCAGCTGTAGGTATAAAGGGGAAATCTGGCTTTTCTATTTGTAAGTTGAAATTTAAGGCATTAAAGAAAGTACATTAAGTCATCCGACAAAGTTTATGGTATATATATATATATATATATATTTATAAGCGGCTGACATTTCTTGTGCTTCATCGCCAGACACCTGCGCCTGCAGCTGCAGACAACGTTGTCTCTTTTATATTCCTATGGGCCTTATGATCTCATAGGATTATGTAATCATTCCCCCATGACAAAGATGTTCAGATCTGAACATCTTTTGCACATAAAACACATGACATACAGGAGCCTCAAATAACCGCCTCTCCATCACATCGGTTTGTCCAGAGGACACCTGTATCAACATCTGTCTCAGGATGGGTGCAAACGCCCAGTCAAACATGCGACTCTACCGAGGGGACATTTAACATCCAGTCTATCAGCGTCTGTTATGAATTTATTCTGCCTCTTTGTTGTCTCTTTGTCTCTGCTGCACTGAGACACCCTCCCTTGCTCTAGTTTTATGAGTTCCTCTGCTGTCCTCACAAGCACAAGAGACAAAGGCTGGAGGACGTAAAGCAATATTTGCAGAATCAGACCGAATGGACATGGAAGAGATGAATGACGGAGGGCGAATACGGTCAGCCGATTTGATCACCTCAGGTTGTTAAGCGGCCCGATAAGTTATTCTCGACTCACCATTTGCTTTTGCCTGCCGTTCCTTACAAGAAGAAACAAAAAAAAAAGACACTTTATCACTCGGGTCCGCACAAAACACTCTCTTACGACCAGTTATTAATCCGTAGGAGAAACATAAAAAAATGCAAAATTTTTCCATCTGTATAGGAAAAAAAAGCATTTGATAAAACCTATCCTGCCCCGACTCCATAGTCGTCTGTGAGCGCAGCAAGCAGCGGCAAATGGAAAATGAAGCTTTTTTCCCCTCTCACTACCCCTCCATCCCTCACTCTCCTCTCTTTTTTGTGTCTGTTCTCTTCTTCTATGCCTCTCTCTCAGGCGCTGTCCCTGGCTCTGGTTTATGCCTGTCTCCCTCTGCCAAGTCACATCACTAATTCTTCAGGCGATTAGGGTCCAAACAGTCGCAGGTACACAACACACATACACACAGACAGTTGCATCGATTCCATTATCTGGTGCTCTAACAGCACCCCCACTCCCACCAACCCCCAACAACCATCACCCTCTCCGTTCATAAATCTGTGTCACCTGCATACAACACGCAAACACACAGAGTTACTTATGCAAGCATGCAGCATCTCCAGCTATTGCTCTTTCTCTTGCCTTTACACCCTCCATCACCCTGTCCCCACCTCCTCCTCCTCAGCCTTCTCCTCATCATCCTTCTTCTTCTCTTGCACACTCTCTGAACCCCGTCATACTTTTTTCCAAGGCGTGACGTCCCGTCTCGCCAAAAGAAAAGAGAGAGAGAAAAAAAAACAACGACCCACATTCACATGACGGCATGCGTCTCCATGTGTTTCTGTGTGTGTGATGCTCATGCAGGAGTTTGTCAGGAAGGGGGTGTGCACACTGGTTTCCTCGTGCATGTGCATGTGTGTGAAAGGCGGCGTATGTGTGGGAAAGAGGCAGAGGAAGAGCTGAAAAGATGTGGATTTTACACAGTGTGAGGATCAAAGCCATGGCGAGCCCAGAGGTGATTAACCTCCCAGGCATTTCTGACCACAATACTGCTGCTCTACCTCCACATTCAACAAACAGGCGGTTTCCTGCAGTTCTATGTCAGCACACAATGCATCTATGATCACTTGGCAGAAAATCTGTTTATGCAAAAGAAATCCTGCCAGATTTTTCAGCTTAAAGTTAAACGGGAATAAAGTCAGAATACAGACCAAAAGAAGCACAGATAGAGTGAAAATAATAAATGTACACTTTGCAACGGATGAACCCGGCCACCTCTTATGAAACAGCAGGTGGAAAGTGGGTCTGATGTGATGGCTGAATTTCCCCTTGAGTTGGAAACCTGCCGGAGGAGTTGCTTCTTTGTGCAGTGCTCAGCAGAGTTCGCTGATATGTTTTTTTTTTTTTTTTTATCCCTTCCTCGCTGGAGCACTGCAACGCAATGCGGATACTGGGTGTCTGAGCCACTAGCCAGACACACTGGGGGACAGGGGGGGAGGAGGCGGAGGCAGTACAGCAAGTTCACGCACAGCCTCGTGCTTCAGGAGACACTGATACTAATGTCTGGTTTGAGAGGAGAGCTGAGTTCTGATCAGATATGAAGGGTTTTAGTTTTTAAATCTCTAAAGCTTCATTTAAAACTGCAAAAATATATTTTATTGTGGAAATTCCTCATTACATTCCAATCTAAGATGACCTCTTCAAAAGACTTAACACTGTGTGTGTGGCACGCTAAAGAAAGAACCCCTTCCTGACAGCTGGTGCCACGTCCCGTCAGACTGCACCAAATAACAAATCAAAGAGCACTGCAGAGCAAGGTGCCTGTATTGAAAAATGGATTAGCACGATCTCAAAAGCTAATTAAACCTAATCCAGATTTATTAGATTTACAGTCAGCACTGAAACTGTTTTGTAGTTTGTGTTTGTGCAAATATAATTACCGACTTGAAAGTGAATTAGAATAATTTAAAATCTAATAATAGCTGCGATGTGTGTGGCACAGACTGTCGGTGCATCTGTTTCACCGTTTGCAGAACAGACATCCCCCTGTTTTGTAAATAAAAACCGATGAAAATAAGGGAAAATGCATTTTAAATATTATTACAGTACATGTTTAATCAAGCCTGAACTGGGGGATTAGTCTGTCATGCTGAATATGCTTCTACAGAAAGAAAAAGTAACTTTCTAACCTTCTTCTCTTTCCACACCATACTTACCATATCAAAAGGTGGGCAGACTGAAGGAATCCATCTGAAGTCTGGGTGACTCCGCAGGGAAAGCTAGAAGGTTGTACAGTTATCTCCAGGCTGTTTATTATGCGAAACCATACAACCAACTACCTCACACTGCAGAGCACAGGACCAGGGTCAGCGCTGATGTCTGGCGACTCTCCATCATCTTGTCCTTCACTCTGCTACCTGCTTTTCTATTTTTCATAGTTCAGATCCACCCAATCATTACCTTTCCACATCTATTTTCCAAAAACATGTAAAACGTTACACATTTTAGTCGGTTTCATCGGTAAAAGAAGCTTAGCAATGTGAATTGGGAAAATATTAATTCCTGCCCTCTGCATTTCTGTGGACTTGTCTCCCTCTTGTGGGAGGAACCAGAACAAAGCACCCCAGCTCCCCCCCGCCCCCCCTCCAGAGGCCGCAGCAGACCTTCGCTGTCTGGAATACAAAGACGAGCACTTAACCTGCAGTTGCATACTGTAGGCGTCTGCCTGACCTACTTCTCCGCAAGCGGAGCTGCTGGAATCTTCCTTATCCTCAAAGGTTTGATTCAGCTCTAGACTGGGCTTTGTTTCACCGCCTTCAAGAGGTTAAACTCTGCGACCTTGTATTGTCTTTGATTAACTGGACTAATACTTAAACTCCACTTTTGCTGCATTTTTTTCTCATGGAGTATAAATAGGGACAGATTAACCAAATCCAAACAGTCTTCTTCTTAATATGGTTTGAAAAAGTGTTCACACCACTTAAGCTCTTTTTTTGTAACAACCAACTGAACAATTTTATGTGACTGACCAACAAAATACACAGCAGAATTGTGAAGTGGGATGAAAAGGGAGTCAGGGGGTCTACTTTGGGGAACAGCTCATTTTCGTGTCTATATTTTCCAAATGATGCCGGCTTCCTCTTGCCAAAACCTGCAACATGAGCTGCAGTTTTTACAGGAGTGATCTGAGTTTAATCCATTGAAATCTGACCAGATTCCTTGTCCCTGCTAAAGAGCATGATAGTGCCACCACTATGTTTCCTGTGCTCATGGTGTTTAGGGTTATGTGCAGTCTTAATTTTGCACATAGTATTATAAATTTTAAATAAAAAGCTCAATATTTCATACAAAATTAAAACCTTGGCTGTCTGAGTTGGACATTCACCCTAAAATGGCTCAAGCTGTGGATCTCTGCAGCTCTATTACTGGCTGATAGATAGCTTCTTCAATTAATGTTTACCTTGCCCGCCTAACAATTGAGAGAACTATTTATGTGATTAATAAACAATAAAACATATTGCTATGATAAAAAAAAAACTATTTTAAGACCATGTTCATTAATAAATTAATATTTAACTAATCCTACGTCCTAAGCGGGATCTCTGCAGCTCCTCTAGAGTTACCATAGAGGAGCTGCAATTGCAATTAGACTTCATTTAAAAGGTATTAAGATTCCATACAAATTAATTTGCTTCTTTTTTTATTTTTGGAAAAAAGAAAAAAAAAAGTTTCATATGTGAATAAATCTAGCAACAGTAATAGTTTCATATTCATCTATTTTGAGTTATAACTGGACAGAAAATGTGACTTATAAAAAACAAAACAGCTCCAATCCAAATTGTTAGCTATATTTTATTTTGTGGTATTGGAATATAAAAAACATCATAAACAAGCCATCTTTGATTATATCAATGGGGAAAACCATGGTTCTGAAACAATGGTTTCAGATTTAAGCTTGTAAAATTGGATCATTTGGGCAAACTTAGTAGATCATAAATAGATTTATAATTTTCATCAGTCTCTGTATGATGTCATGGTGACAGAACCTCACCATGCTGCTGGGTTTTTTTTGCTATTAAACAAGCTTTTTGCAGAGTGCGGCTAACATTGCCTCGTTTTACATTAGTTTCCAACATATCAAATATAATTTAACGACCAAGTAATTGGATGACAGCTCAGAGTAACAGCACCATATAGTCAATCTCTCTTACTATGCTCCATAAATAATAGGCTACACCCACACATTCGACATCTAGCTGAGGTGATCTCAATCGAAAGCAGCAAACTGGCTGTTATTAGAAGTCAATGGATGTGTTTTGACACTGCTGCTGTGTGCCTCAAGGACTCGTGGATTATTTGATAACTGCTGCACAGCTGAGCTGCAGGGGTTTCTATTCAGCTTGGTCAATGCACCAAAACACAACTGCAGATGGAGAACTAGAAGCAGCCTGTTGCTAATTCCACACCATGTAACTCACTCTACAAACCGACACCACTACATATGCATATCATTTCAAACTGAACAATACAGGCAGATGTTTATAATGGCACACTGTGCCTGGTTTGTTTAAAAGTGTTTTTGTACACAAGGTAGGTTTATCAGACGGTAAATGTGAAAACCAAGTGGTGCAACATAAGGCAACACCACTTTAATTTCAAAGCTCCTCATCTTTGAGACATTTTGTTGGGCTGCACGGCTACCTTTAGAACAAAAACCCCACTCATCTCACCTCTCTCCACTCCCTTTTTGCTACTCTAATAGCCCAGCCTCCACCCACCCTTCATTGTCTTTCTCTGACTATCCTCCCTGCCCTCTACGGGTCTCTGATTTGTCCTTCATCACAGAACACTTAAAAGTTTCAAAATCTTTAGCAACTTTTTTCTCCCCTTTTTATTTTCTGACAAGCACTACTTGATTTTCCTCCCTTTATCCCCTCGATTCCCCTTCCTCCCATTTAAACCTCTCACACCGACTCATTCGCAGTCAGGTCACGCATGCATGCGGCATGGTTGTGCCAGTGCCAGCTCTGTGCCAATGTGCCTGGGCATGTTTGAGGAGGAGCCTCCTGCACCAGAGGCCTGGGTGGCCCAGGAGCCTGAAAGCCAGCTGCTGTTGGATCAAGTAAGGAGTTTTTGAATTAGAATTCAGCTTTGCGAGAAACCCATAGAAAGATGCATGTTGGAGCTGTTGATGCAAAATAAAAGATCTGCTAAATAACTTTCACACACAGAGAATACTAAAATAATTTCCTCTCTGTGTTACGAAAGAAAAAGCTTAATAAAACACATTTTCATTACCAGTGAGTTAGATACAGTAAATGTGATCCTAAACCTTTTGATTCAATATTTCCTTGGATTCAAAATTTTTATCAATAAACATTCAACACTTTTTTGCATATTTTATATTCAATATTCCAATTGTGCTTCTCTATTAGCTCTGCTAATTTACTCTTCAGATATTACTAATAAAAATTACCAATGCTTAATAAAGAAATACCTTTATGGGACAAGATCAAAACAGACATTTCATATATATTTAGCTCAACTCCTACAAACTATAACAAGAAATAAAAAAAGAAATGTCACAAATTAGTCTAAATAATTAGATCATAGGTGCTTAAAAGGGCCAACCATAGAAAAACTATATTTTTTAATCACTACTGTGCTGTGCAGCTTTAAATCAAAATGAAAATATGATCTTTAGCTCTACTCATGCTCACATAGAGGACATGCCCACACACACAAGTCCACACAACCCAATAGCCATTGACAACACTGCCCTAGCAACCAATGGGCATCATGCCAAGCCGCTGATGTTGCCTGGTACTGTGTTCCCATGGTAACATTTTCTGGCTTTGTAAATAAGGTACGAGAAGAGCAAAAAAAAAAAAAAGGAGGGGTTTGTGATAAATCACATTATGGAATCAAATTAAGAGAGACTATAATTCATGGTTTGTGAATAATTATCTTGGCCTCTCAGCAGACACCATTCTTACTCAAGAGGGGCATTAGCATCCTAGGGGAACTCAGGTCTCAGCCCTTCCCACACACAGCCAGTTCTTTACTTGACTTGGAGGAGAGAGGAGCATCTAAATAATTTCTCCTGCTCTCTTTATAGAGCATCAAACGTCGAATGCTGCTGTAGGTTTGGTGATGGAAGAGTCCACCTTTCTAAAAATATTAGATCCATCCTTTATTTTGTCTATCCACAGACTCATTTTCTTTAGCTTAATTTCACTTATATCCCCGTGATTATCCATTCATATATACATAAGAGCTTCTTTTATTACAGAGAAGATAACCTCTGCATTGGATTCTTAGAAATAAAGCAAAACATTATCAACCTTTTTCAGCTAAGCACAGAATCCATTTATTTGTGAGTGTTCACCTTATTACTTGGCAATCCATTACCCATTTAAACCCAAATTATGTGCTTCTTCAGACACTAGTTTAAGGGTAAATTATCTAAAATTGCATCTGTCTGACTCAGCTGAAGAACTGAGATAAGAATAACATATGTTTAGCTCATATACTGATTAAGTAAAATAACGATTTGGGTCAAATTAGCCCAGGGTTGTTTAAAAGAGTGTTTCTTTTATCTTGAATAAGTTAATTTGTTTGTTAGAAGATATTAGAGAATTCAGCCTGTAGATGGATCAGGTGTGTGGGGGAGTGCAAGATGTAAGTGCAAAAAGAACAGGTAAAGCTTTTTTTCTCACTATTTAGGGCACAACTATCAGAGAAGTAAGCCCAGTTATGTTGTGAAAACATCTTCACAGCGCTTCAATCTTTTTCAAAAAGACAAGCAGCCATAGTTTCCTTTTATTTTATTTTTTTTGACTCTGCCACGTCCCAAGTGGCAATGCATACCTGGCTAAGGGAGGGCATGTGGTTCAAGCTTGCAGAGCACACCTCCCAGTTGTGTCATACTAAGGTTGGAACATACATACTGTAGATCAGCCAATCTAAAGTTTACTTGGAGCCATACCAGTACCATGTTGTGTGGGTGGTCCTGGTATGGTTAGTTTAAACAAACCATTGCATTAGGCTAGTTGCCTTTACTTTGAAAGGGAACTGATAGGATATTAGTAGTGAGGGGCAGGGGAAATCATGCAGCAAAGGTCTCCGACTCTGGAACTTAAACCTGTCAGGGGCTGAGGCCTCTGCACACAGGTCCCAACGAGGACCCCAGAGTTCATTTTAAACTGATTAAACCATTCTGTTGTGAAAAGACCCCTGACCAAACAGGATTGGGTTATGGATTTGACCCAGCACACTCGTATAATGATATGCTTCAGAACAACAAATGCAAAATTCCCCAACATTTTTTCCCCCATTTCTTCCATTAAGGATCTACCAAGCCTTGTTTAACACATAAAAACAGTTTCAAAATATAAAATAATAAAATATCAAATTTTTTTCATCTGGTGAATCAAATTTTTTCTGACCATAAATAATAGATTATGTAGAAACCTTTACCTTTAAACCAGAAAGTAGCCTTTGTCCCATACTGGGAAGTCATCTGTGGTTGAACGCAGCATTTCTGAAAGCAGATGAGCATTGTGCAAATGACATGTATGTCACAAGTTTGAAGATATATTCAGGAATAACTAATAAACACAGCTATTTATAGCTTTTTCTCAGCACTATAACTAAACAGCAATCTTGTGAATATCTTGACAGTAAACAGTAATTGAACTGAATTTTAATAATACACTTTCGAGAGCATGCAGAATTAGAATGAATAAAAATAAATATTTACGGAGGAAGCATAAAAAATCTTGGCTTCATGAGAAAAGAGATTGACAAACTGGATATTGTGGCATGAATGAAGAGAGGGATGCAAATAACAGACCAGCAACGGAGACAGTTAAAGACCCTGGTGATAAATAATGCATTAATAATGACGAAATATACAATCTAGGGTCATAAATTAACCAGGAGTTAGTCAAATGAATGCAATAATTATGACATTGCAACACAATGAAACGCAGACAGAGAGTAGTGGCTTTAGTGCTGGTATGTGCTCAAAAGCTCCCACACGTACATTTGGGTCTGTGTGTTCCTGTCAGCATGCACTTAGAAGATCTTAGGCAGAGCACTGCCTTTGGTGCACCTTATCTAATTTAACATGGAGGACGCACAGCCTCCCCCGCCCCTCGCTCCTTTCCTCTCCGGCCCTTTGAACTCAAGCCGCTGCTCTAGATGTACTCTGACTGAGCACAGCATGTCCTGAAAAGAGGTCAGAGGGCAGCCCAAATAGTCTGGTGTCATGGCAACTTGATGCCATTAGCCAAAAATTTGAACCGACGGGTGAAATTGCTGAAAATTTGGGTCAGTTTATCGAAGGATGAAGACAAATTGGGACCATTTTCATCAAACGTTTCAGGGTTGATTAAAATCAAGTAATGGAAGAACTTTACAGAGTAAAACCAGGGCTGTAATCTGAATAAAACTCACACTAAGATATAAAACAAGTACACAAATGATTTATTGTACTTTAACGCCTTCAATTTGTACTTTAAAGCCTTTTATGACAGATATAATTGATAGTCAGGTGAGGATGAAGGCTAGAAAGAATCATTATATTCATTTTTAGTCTTTGGACAATGAACTAGCCTGGGAGAGTAAAAACAAGCTAACTGCTGCTAAGTAAGGTTAACATAGAAAACAGCTTCTGCTAATTTCAATTAAGACCTTTTTTGACAATTGTAATAATTAATATCAACTTAAATTTATACCCTCATCATTTTAAACTTATTTCCTTTGCCTAATTCATTTTATATCTGTAACAACTTAAACATAAATTTCTTTTAGGTCCCACTGCATTTGGCTTACCTTAATTTAATTTATTTTTACAGTATACAGAAGCTTTAACAGAATATGGATTTTAGCCCCAATCTGGAAACACTGTTAAGGAAAATTTAGTTAAAAAATTTCTTTTCACAGACAAGAAATAGTGAGGATAAGTAAAAAATATTTTGATTTCAAACCTTAAAAAAAACCAACAACAAGCACTTTAAAGGAGTGGATTTCTTGTAATTGGACCTTCAGAAGGAAGTATGTCAGGAATTACCTCCAAATTCTCTTTAATTAGGGGTAAATTTAATAGGAAAACAACCCATTTAAATGTTTCTTTTTTTTTTTTTTCTCCATCCTTAAATTCTGACTATTAGTTTATCCAAATTTGTAAATTCTGTAGGAGTATTAAACGCTATTTAGCTTAACGTTAACCTTTTTTTTTTTAATAGCTGGCCTCTTTTAGTTAAAGACTGGTTTTGAAATAAAAATACCCACCCAATTACTGCCACAAATGTCACCTTGATTCATATACCTCGGCACAATTACCACTAAAATGAACTCCTCTCATTTTTTTTGCACTAATGACTCTAAGTACATTTGAGCCAACCTGAGAAATGAACTGCAGTCTTAATTGTGTCGCATGCCTGTGGCAGCTCCAGACTGCCTTTGTTTTCATCTCGCTGCTAAAGTGTTGGATCAATAGAGAATTCAGGTTCCTTTGTATGTCATTAGCTTGCTTGATGCCTGAGCTGAGACCTCTTAAAAGCCATTGTGTTTTCAGCCTCTTGTGATTGCAATTGTGGCTCTCAGATATGATAGCGTGTGCATGACCTACATGAATACCAGGTTCGTAAAGCTTATTCATTTAGGTGTTTGCGTATGTGCACTTGCAAGGGCTGCAAGAAAGCTGCATGTGCTGCATGGGAAAGCTTTTGTGTGCGTGGTATGTGTCCTAATGTCTGCTCGATGCGGCAGAGGGTGGAGTGGTGGATCGATAAAAAACAAATGAATTCAGATCAATATTAAGCCAGAGAGTGAAGGAAAGGGAAGGAGAGATTGAAAGCAAGCGAGCGCGGTGATGCACCAAAGAGACGAATGAGGAGGAGGGGTGGTAGTGGGTTGGGTGGACGTGGTGATGTGTTACCAGGAGATCAGCGATTAACTGTGCACATGGGGAAAAAAAATACTCATTACTAAAGCTAAAACCTCAGTGCTTTGAGTTCAGTGGCAGGTAGAAATGGATGGTTAAGAGAGGTACTGAGAGAGAACACACAGGGGGACGACGGCAGAAGTGGACTTGAGACAAAGGAGCATTTCTGCATTATTGATAGTGGCCTTTAGTCAGGAACAACAGTAATTAGCATAGTTTTTGAATGAGTTCATAATAACTCACTTTAATAGATTCCTTATATACTTAAATTAACTAAATAATCTTTTCCAATTGTTTTGATATATTTCAACATTTTTAGAACAAAAAAAGCCTTATTAAAAGAAAATAACTGCATGTAAATTATCTATATGTTGCATCAACCATGCTGTTTTTATTAAAGTAAAAATTTAAAAGAAAAACAAATTACTTGGTTTAAATGTTTCCTTCAGTGAACAACAGCCTGTTGAAAACAGCAGATACATGTTCATGGCTTCAAATAAATATTCAAAATCTTGGGAATAAAAGCTTGAATAAAGGTTGTCTAAGCTTCCTAATATCTTAAAAGTGATGATTTATGTATGTGATTTTTTTTTTTCAAAACAACTTAAATTTTAATTGCTGAGCAATTCTTGGAACGTTTTGCTCAAAGTTCAAAGTTAATATATGTTACTTGATTTATGAATATATTTTTGACCCCAATCCCAAAGCATTAACTTTAAGTAGATATAGGTCAACTTCCTTTTCTCAGTGGAGATTCTAGATTAATTGTGGAGCAAATTATTGTTTGATGTTTATAAAAATAACACAAGAATAAAAAGCCACAACCAGTAACTTAACATGTGCCTTTATTCTTTGCGAAAGTAAAAGCCAAACAGGGCATCTTTGAGGCAGTTGGCCAGTATAGAGCAGCAGCAGGTGGGACAGGGGATGCACTTTGCTACTCTAGACTTTATACTTTCTCTGGCATCCCACTAAAACGTATGAATGGCTAAACAATACGGTGGTTTTGAAAATGTTGCTTTTTAAAGTTATGATATATAAAAACAAGCCAAAGCCACCTATTTCATATATTCTGAATGAAATTTCAAAGAAAGGAAAACGTAATTCTTATCTTTAAGTTTCCATCGCTGGTAATTGTTGCAACAGAAACATGTTTTTTGCACTTAAAGAAAAAAATCTGTCCTAAAAAATGCAAGACGTATTGGCCAAAACTGTCCCTGTTTTGCAGCTTAAGAAACTTTGGTTCTCATAGAAGTATTCTACCATGTTCTACCTACCATGTTCATGTAATTTATGATTTTAAATCATGATCATAATCATTAGTAATTTTACATTTAGGTAACCAAAACCAAACAATAGATAGCCATTTTTAGAAAGAAAAGCTCTAATTGATCTTATTAATCAATTCATAAGATTAAAATAAAATAATTGCTTTATTTGTTTGAATAAAAGAATTGTTTCCGCAAAAGTTGAAATGCTTATCTTGTCAGGTGCATTCCTTTTTAATTATGGGTTAAATTTGACTGATTGGGACTGATATATTTGTGAGGGCAAACAAAACAAAAAAATACATTTTGCCATTCCTAAGATTATAGATTTTTTTTCTTTAGTTCAGTTAAGAAATGCTGCAAACATGTTGCTTTTATAAAGTGACCTTGAAATAGAAAATGTGTTTACTGAGTTTTTATGTATCAGTTCATCTTCTGGCTGCAATATCAAAGCTTGAAGAGTCCTTTAGGAGTGGGAACTCGATGTGACTTTGAAGTGATTGTGGCGAAAACAAACACAGGGGAGCTGAGAGCCGTGAATAAGTGCTCTCTACCTGGAGTTCAAGGTTCTCTCACTCCTGACAAGAATTACAATCAGTTTTTTAATAGTCTTCTTTTCATGCTCTGGAGGTGGATGAGTCTGAATTTTTAAAGTCAATAATATTTACTCTTAAAGCATACTAATAGATAAAGGTTTGGCCACATTTTTTAATAAAAACATCTGTGAAATAATTATTTACGTTTATGTGATTTTCTATTTACATCCTATATTAAATAATAATCCTTGTATAATCACATAATACAAAATTACTCAAATAATTGAAATAAAATAAATATTGAAGGTAAGGCCATGAATGCACAGTAATATTGAATTTTGCAGATCAGCTGTTGCAGCTTATATCAATGTACTGTGTAACGTTCAATGGCCCAGGAGAGACCTCACAGCCTGTCTATCAGACTTGTATGAGGAAAGATGTCCGAGGCATAAAGATAGGCAGTCCTTCAACTACATCACTGTCACTCACATCAACAGAGTTAGACTTATCGTTTTTACCTCTGGCAATCTCACTCAGTGAGCAAAGCTCAGAGGCTATGAATATAAACAAGATTAACTAAGAGAACATGTGAGAAGCTGAAGATAAAAATATCTTTTCATCTCCAAAAGGGGTCAGTAGAGAGAGAGAGAGACGAGCAACATTTTAGTTTGTCGACCTTTTCTTTTTTTATTGTTATATTGGCTATTAAACATCCATATTATGTTCTAGAAATTTCCTTCGATGCCCAGCAAAACTTAAAAAAAACAGAAAAGAGCCTGAATATTACCTCCAACCAGAAAACCTGCTGAGCAAAGAGACTGAAATCATGGAGAGGCCCCACTGTCATGTTTCACTGTTTTATTATTTTTTTTATTCCTTTGCTTTCTCTGCTGTTAAATCTGACACCCCTCCACCCATCTGTCTCTTTTTCTCTCCGTCTCATTGTCTGTCTCTCTCTGTCCCCTTAAGCTGTGTTCACTCTGTTCTCTCCATCTCCCTGCCTCTAATGTGCTTTGGCGTGCGTTACCCACGGGTGCCTGTGTGCTGCCGCCACCGCCATCCTAAAGCCAGGTCAGCAAGGCGGCTAACACGGCCTGATGCTGTCTGTGACATCATCAGTCACTTCTATTAGTCACGTCTCACCTCCCCTAGCTGTCGGGGCTTTGGTGATGAACACAAAACAAACAAACAACGTGAGTGAAATGGTATCTAATGAGTCCAAAATGCTGAGTCTGGCTTACTTGAAATAGTTTTACAATTTCACACATAGCTGACACTGAAGTTAGTGTAAAATAAACATGGATTTGGATCCAAGATATTGTATATCTGTGGTGTATTTAAAATCTACTCTCAGCAAATCAGAAGGCGTGTTTTAATTAGATGTCTTTACTGTACCTGACCTTGGCATGAACCAGCATGAGATTCTCAGTGTGTGTTAATAATAAGAAGTAAAACTACTACAGCCTCAGGCTATAAGCACAAAAATAAAACAAAAGTGTGCAGCATCTTTAATTGTTTACCTTTGAAAGACCAAGTAGAGAGGGATAATAATGAGTTAGTAATATAATCTATTACAATAATTTTTTATTTTAACTTTGATACATAAATTACATCAAAAATGTAGAGAATATCAATATAATCTTCGCCAAAATTTAAAACACGTATATATATATATATATATAAACACACACATATATAGACACATACATATATATAAATAAAATAAATAATAATAAAATAATTTTAATTTTAAAACTGAGATATTTCTATATACATTGTTCCATAATTATAGCATTTATCGCTAACTGACATTCCAGGTAATTTTTAAGTTTAGGTAATTTAAAAAAAATAAATTTTAACTAATATTTCTAACATATTATATTGCGGTTTAATACGCCTCATAAAATAAGTTTCATAGTTTTATAGAGACATCTTTTGTGGGAAATCTTGGCAGTCTTTCTAAAAAAAACAAAAAAAAAACAGATTGTCTAAAATTAAGAAATTTATTTTAGATTTTTTGCTTTCTTTTTTAAATTTCCAAATGCCTGCCTAACACTAATAGTAAGCCAGCGTTTAATACAACACAAATATATATGTAAATATAACATTTAAAGAACTCCCTTTTGTGCTTCTGTCTTGACTTACTATAAATTATTTCATTATGTATTTAATTTTCTTTTAGCTTGTGTACAGTTGATCTTCAAATAATACATTTTCTTAATGAGTACATATCAGAAATAGTGAATTCTAAGACTACCAAAGATTGCTGAGTAGATGCAGGGGCCAGCGCATGACGTTCTATAAAAGATGTTATAGCAGACTTATTCCTCAGAGGAACTTTAGCTGTATTACCTGCATTGCAAGTAAAACTCTTTTTTATTCTTCTATCTATAAAATGTATGATCTAAGTTTCATCCTTTTCATCCACAAATTAAAACAACTTTCAGAAATAATTTTCGAGTTTTTGTTTTTTTTTTTTGCTGTACTGCAAAGAGGAACATAATAAATCCAGATGTGCCTCTAATACTCATGCTTTATATACATTTAATAAGGAGTGCATCGATGATCGATAAATTTTTTTTGCTTTATTTTAAGAAATCTGAGATTAACTGATAAATACATGTAAAATGACTCTTTTCAACTGGTCGTATCTACCTCTGTAGAAGTCTAGAAATCGCCCACTCTCAATGATCTAAACTTCTTGAATTTATATCAAAAACATTATCTAGTGCAGTTTGTGTTGTTACATGGTTATTGTTCAAAGTTTTTTAATAAAATAAGTACAAAACATTTAAGGAGTATTGTGATCTTACAACAATCCGGCAGCATCAGTTATTAAAAAAAAGCTGTAAGTCAAATTAAATCATAATGTAAACCGGCATGTCAGGCTTTTTAAAGATTGGCGACCAGTGATCAATTAGAAACCATTAATGCACCCCTAAAATGAATACTAGAATAATAAAGCACATCTGTGTTAAAGAAAGATACATGCAGTTTGTGAGAAGGTGAACACAGAGAGCTGCAGTGTGTAGGAAACACAATGTATAAAGCATACATAACAACTATATAATGATGTACGAGTATGGCAGTTTTGCAAAACAGGAGTGTTTCCTCTTATTTCCCTTCACTCGTAGCATGCCCTTCTAAAAGCACCTGCCACACAAAAAGACAGCTAGAGTTTTTATTTTATTTGCTTCTAAATGATGCTTTGGGTTCATGATGACAGAATAATGACCTCTGGTTTATGAATATCTTAAAGTATTCATTCTAAAAAAAAAAGAAAAAAAAAGAAAGCTGGTACTGGGGGACAACTTAGACCTAGGAGGGAGGATGAGAAAAAAAAAATCAGGAAAAGTAGGACAGCAAAGTAGACAGATTAAATAAAAGGGACACCAGACACAGAGACAGACAGTGAGATCAAGCAGTATAAACAAAAGCTTGAAACAATGACATGTGAAAGACAGATAGAGAAGAGAAAAGGACAGAATTAGAATGAAGAGAGCTGTATGCAAGCGAAAATAGGTGGCGGACTCTTGTCAGGGCAGTGACCCAGTCGCAAAGCACTGAGGAATTCTCCTCGTTGACCCGGACACATTCCTCTGGTCAGACGTTAACCCATGCCGCAGCATCATACTGTACTGTTCAGTCTTCCTGTCGCTGACCCATAAATAAATCCCTTTAACTATCCCTAATGGCTGCACATTTTAATAATCAACATTAACAGCTTCGAGTAGGCGCTGAGAAATGTATCTGAGAATCGAACCGAAGGGTGAGGTTAAGCGATAATCTCAGAGCAAATACCTTCCGCAAGATTTGAAACATCAGGTGAGCGGCTCGACCTGCTGAATCAACAGCCCCAGCTGCTCGCAGAGAACTGTGTGCACATGTGTGCGAAAGGGGGCCGTGCAAAAACACAGTGAAAATAGCAGGGCAAGAAGGGCTCTATTGTATGGGAGAGGCAGAATGTGGCTCTTATTCTGGCGCTGCTGGTCTGGGGGCATGGGGTGACATCAGCACAAAGACAGAAATGTAATGTGAGGCATCTCCAAAACCAGCTTCAAGGCTAAACCACAGGCCTGCCTTTATGCCCACTGTCTCTCACTTTTCAGCAACATCTGATAATGGGGACACGACCCCCCAATGACCTTTCCACTTGTTGCTAACCAACAGAAGTCATACCCTACAGTATTATACCGGACTGCTGTGCAACAGAAAGCTTCCCAGTCGGTTGCTTTCAGACTGGCCCATGGTTAGCACATATATGTTAGGTTAATCATGACAGAATGACTCAGGGCAGAGTAATTGAATTATACTGATGGTGCATTGACATTTCGATCGGGCCACAGACTAAAACGGCTGACCAAGTGTTCTAGTCTGCTGAGTGCTATCAGGGAAAACTCAGTTTAAAAAAAAAAAAAAAAGATGAATTTACTGAAAAGCATCTACACAGCTCATATAATAAACAGTACAACCTACGAATCAACTATCTTTTTTTTTTTCTTTATTAACCTATATATCCTTACCTCATCAAAGCGTGTCCAAAAGTGCGGGTCATCTGTAGTCGAATCTGAAATACAAACATATATTATTAAATTGGTATTATTATTTCAACATATTATTTAAAAGTGCATTGCTAGATAATTCAAATTCATCACAATCACACACATCACTGTATTTTATTTGAATTGTGTGAGAAAGGCTTGAAGAAATAAAATGTCCACTGCAACAATGACAAGCGTTACCCTGGAAGCCTCCTCTGCACTGTGAAGCATTGTAGTGGCAGCATTATGCTGTGGGGTGGGGGACAGCTTTTCTCCTCCTTTTAACAGGGGAGGAAGTCTGAGAGATGCAACAAAACAAATGACTGATTTGTGGAAAACCTGCAAAAGACTTGAGATTTGGGCAGAGCTTCACTTTTAAGCAACCCTAAATGTACAGCAAGTGGAAGGGATCAAAGTATACTCATGGCTTGAAAAAAACCTAGTCAGTCCTGTTTAATCGGACTATATTGTGAGCTAGGACTTAGAAATGGATCTTCAGGGTCTCTTTTAGTCCTGCCAAAGCAGAGGTCTAATATTTTAGTCTCTAGATGTTACCAAGCAGTATGGAGATCCCTCAAAATGCTAATTACCATTATTTCTGTAAAATGTAGTTGTCAGGAGAATTTATACATATGTAAGCCGCACTTTTCAGATTTTTTTTTTTTTTGTGTGAATTATATTAAGACAGCCATAATTACACTGGCTGATCACAAAAAAATCCTGATGAAATGTGTCTCAATATTCTTCAGAAATAAAAATCAGAAGAATATTTAATAATTCTCTGGCAAAAAAGGCTATCACATTTTTAGCCCAAGCCTTCATCCAAGCAACAGGGTTTCATCGATGCTCTATTTTTATTTACTGCAGCACATTTGAGTGTTTCTTATTGAGCGACCGGGATGCAAACGGAGCAGCACACGGTCGGCAGCGGCTAAACACAAGCGCAGCTTGCATGGGAATTCCTGAGGTCTGTTCAATCCATTAATGTATGCTGCGGTTGGGTGTCATCAATTATGAATTAGAAACACACTAGACTCACAGAAAGCGGGTATAGAAACACAGGGGTGAAGAGGGGTGGTAGTATCTAGGAAATCTGCAGACTACCACATGAAGCCAAGGTTACGTAATAGAAAGGCTACATACATGTAGATTCCTTTAAAATGATTTTCGAAGAATTCAACAGAAGACAAATAAATAATTTTATATATTATCTAAGAACAAAAGAGCAACTGTAAACTTTAAACAGGAACAAAGGAGCTTTTCCTCTGTCTTTCTTTTGTACAGATTCTGCAGTATCATGTTAAGGTCTCTTCCCCTTTGAGTTCCAGGTATTCAAGCATGTGTTGACCCTTTCAGTGAGTTCATACCATAAGCAGACCCATATAGCTTCTCCTCCAGAGGCTCAGATCACGAGCTTGCTGAGCTGCCGCCTTGGTTATGTAAGATTACGTAACACCAGGCCTGTCTCAGTAACATTTCATAACGTTGGGGTCCCACTATACGGTTTAAAGCATCAAGTTCCCTTTAGAGTGCAATCAAACGAGATAAGAATTGGAAGAACAACTTAGTTTTAATAAATTCATTATGAAAGTTTAGGGGAAAGGTTCGTCTCTCTGAATCCTCCCTTGAGTTTTGCTAATAGGAGAAGATGTTTGACTTCAGTAAAACGTTCATCTCACAAATGTCCCCCATTTTTTTATACATATGATTTTCAGATGTCAGGAGAAAGCTAACCTAGGAATCCTACTAAACAAAAGCTCCCCCCAGAGTTTATCAGATTGACACGCTGCTGTCCTTCCCAAAGGTCGTGCCATTGTGTATCAACTAAATGAGTGCATATTAATTGAATCTCCTCACTTTGAGGCACTGATAATTGTTATTTAAAGAGTAACTGTTATCTAAGGGTCTGGGCAACACGGGAATCATAGTTATCTTCTCCTTTAAAGAAAGAAATAACTCGACTGCTTTTAATCAAAACAGGTTTTAGAAGAATTATCTGATTTTAGCCATCAGTGTTGGCTTGCTTTAAGCCGAGCAGTTCTAAAACATGGATGGAACATTCAACACATAAAGACCATCAGGAGGAAGGGCAACGCGCTGTCCTCTCCTCAGAACAATGACAAGGAGTTAGAAAACATCACTGCGCAGATATAACATCTGGTTTTGTAAAAGACAAGCAGAGGCAGAGGGAAGGGAGACATAAAGGAGGAGATGGGAGGAAAAAACAAAGGGACAAAGATGCTTTTAAATCGCTCAGGCAGCTTTCAGCCAAATGAATAGATTGATATAATAAACTGAAAAAAAGATCAATTATTCCATCCTCAGCAGGTCTCTGTACTTCACAGCATAACCAAGGCTCTTTTTATTTACAGAAATGCATAAACTCTTCATCTTTTAGTTAAAAAAGAACTCCCTGAAACACAATCTGAAAATCAAGATGGTTTATTTCTCATATAAGCTGTAAGAATTCGACTATAAATGTATATAATTAATGGCGAATCCTTTGCGAAGGCACATGGGAAGATTGAGGATACCCGGATGAATGGATGGAGGTTTAAGGGGAAAAAACAATGAATGAAAAAGTACTGGATAAGTGAAGAAACTTCGAGATAACCACATAAGTAATTTAACAGCTTCCTTGCACTTTTTGTTCATATAATTAATACCAACAAAGCTCACTAAATCGAGATATATGAAGGACAGTTCTATGAATCCACGCATGCGCCAGAGGGAGGACCCTCAGACACTGCCGGCTCCATTAACTCTAAAATCACATCACAGCATATTAACACACACGCACAGACACAAAAATACACATGACTGATACAAATGTATGTACCCCTAATCCTTCGCAAGCTAGCCTCCCATCCATGGGCCCCCCTTTCAAAATGGGTGTATTAAGCGAATCTCTTTCCTACAAAGATTGCCTCTTTGTGGGAAAAAAGGCGGAGAGAACAAACGACAAAACTCAAGATACAGAGGGGGCTGAAGGAGGGAAAAGAGAGCGAGATGTTGAAAGGAAAAGTGAGAGCTGGAGCGTGAGATGGGATGGATGGATGGAATGAGGGGGGAGTTAAAGCCTTTTTAAAACTAGAGAGGTGAAGGATATGAAGTATTTAAAAATGGGAAGGATAAGGACAGGTACATGCTGCATACTTACGAATGAATGAGAGGAAAGACCGTAGAACTCATGATCAAAAATCGTAATCGACCAGAAAGTGCTAGTCTGACAAGTTTTTTTCCATCATTTTACCAATTCCTATCCAGCCGTACCTCCTTCCTGAGTCTACCCCCTCTTACGGTCCTCTTTTTCCTCTCTTCCTCCTGTTTTTTTCTTCTTTCTCTCCTTCCCTATGCTGCATGCTTTCTACCGCAGACCATGCTCTTCATTTTCCCCTCCTTTTTCTGCCTCTGCCTGCTTCACATGTCCACACATCAGAGTTTTCCTTTCTTCAACTCCCAGCTTCCATTTTTCAATGCACAAACGATTTTAGAAAAAAAAAAAAAAAAAAGATTACTGAAAAGGGAAATACATGGCTACCCCCCACCCAAAAAAAAAAATAAATAAATTTAAAAATACTGCGGAAGAGGAGGGAAAAAAATAGTTGACAGGATAGGACAAGCGGTTTGTGGCATGCAGTCTAATGCGGGGACAAATCCACGGCCTACTTCTTTTTTTTTTTTTCCAGAGACGCCACACATAGTAAAGAGTGCGCAGTCTAAGAGCTGCTGCCTCTGTACTTGGACGGATAGCAGAAAGGAAATAATGGCATGCAGAAAGAAAAGTAAAAGGAAGAGAAAAAACCTGAGCGGACTGCAGTTGGTCTCCAGTGAAAGTGGATAGTAAGGGCGCGTGAGGGAAATGAGTGGGAAGGAGTCCGGGGCGTGTGCATGTGTGAAGAGGTGGGAGGGGAGAGAAAGGAGAGCCGGAGAGAAAAGAGAGAGACTGGAGGTTAATGGAGAAATATCCAAGAGGGAGGGATAAGGGAGGAGTGTGTCAGTCTGGAGAGGACTGAGAGAAATGGGGGGGTAGAAGTAGGGAAAAAAAAAAAAATATATATATATATAAATGTACGTATATATATCTATATATATATCTATATANAAACCTACAAACTTTGCAGGTTAGGTGAGTCTGACTTATTTATAAATATATATATATTTAGAGCTTAAAGAATTAATCGGATTAATTGTGATTATTTAATTATTGACATAATCATCAACTAATTTAGTAACCGATTAATCGTTAACTGGAGTATAGAGACTCTATAACATGTGCTTCTTTAGCTGACAGAGAAATCCACCTTGAGTAGCATTTATACCAAAATTGTACAAACAATATGTAAAAATTTTGACTTTTAAGATAAAAAAAATATTTTTTTTTCTTTCAATATACTCCTCAAGTGGAAAAGTCTGAGTTTCACCTGGTTTAATTCTGTAAAATATCTTCTTTGGCTTCTTCTATAATAGTTTTGCACTTCTATTCTATGTATGTATGTATGTATGTAAGTATGTATGTATATATATATATATATATATATATATATATGTATATATATATATATATAGATAGATATATGTTAACTGCCTTTGTATATCTGAGACTAATACCTTCTACTTTCCTATTTGAAGAAAATAGCGGGGATAAAAGAGGAGGATTAAGGGCCAGTGTGGGCTTGGTCTATAGTCCCTGCAGTTCCTTTTCCTGCTTTCCTTTCTGCTTCAGCTCGCCTCTATTCACCCTGTTTTCTGCACGTGCACTTGAACTCTAAATCCTGTCTGCTTTCCCCTCCCCTCTCCCTCTCCCTCTCTCTGACTGCGCATCTGTGTGTCTCTGCCTCGCTCTCCCCACCTCGGTCCTCGGCAGAGGCTTGAAATAGTGCTAGCAGGCAGGAGAGCGCGTGGGGAGGGAAACGGAGAGGGCGAGAGGGACAAAAAGGGGAGAGAGATGTTGAGTTGAGAGGGGGGGGAGGGGAATGAGTTTTAGACGGGCTGACACAGAGAGCGCCGTGCTGCCGTGTGTGTTTATGGCTGCGTGTCCTGCATGTGTCTGAATATTAGTACACATATTCATCAAACATTAGATTTGAATGAAGGATTTTGCAGACTGAGGGTGATAAGTTGGCAGGCCTTGATGAAAAAAATCAAATACATCACACAGATTTTTTTAAAACACCTTAAAATTATTCAAAACCTACAAACTTTGCAGGTTAGGTGAGTCTTACTTATTTATAAATATATATATATTTAGA